CGTATGACAATGTGAGAGAATATTTTACTTTTCGGCCTGAATGACTTATGTGTACAGTTTTTACAATTAGCGTTCCGGGCTACAACCACGTCCATGCATGTTTTCGTATGATGTGTGCTTTGGCCATTTCACCTCGCAAAGGAAAGGTGATTTGTGTTTTTCTTGCTCGATATTATTTTGCCATTTAAGGGATCTGTTTTCAACAACTGCGAAAATCATGGTGCATTCACTGGTCAAGTCCTCAGAAATATGGCTAGGAATTCAAACGGAATATAGATATATATGTGCTCTCCTGTAAGTTGTCTCTACAATTGAATGCCAATTGAGCTCCAGAAAATGTGCACTCTGGCTGGTAGTGGAGCTTGTAGTGGCTTTGAGCTTGTCCATGAAATTCTGAGACGCAACGAACGGCCGCCGTGTGGTATTCTAGGCCTCTGAAATCCGTAATTTCACCACAACTGTCAACCGTAAAAGAGAGGCGGAACGCTTTAGCAAATCAAAATTGCGATGCAGCTTTTATTATTCTTTCTTTTAAATGCAAGGTTTTACATTAAGGGGTCCTTTTTTCCGTTTTTCTTTTGAGCCTTTTGTTTATCCAATAAGTCGGCGAAGCTGCAAGCTTGCAGAAACTGCACTGACTCTATCAGTCATTCGCAGCTGTCTCGGATCTAAAAGGAAAGGGGAGCGAGGCGGGAATCCAGCTTGTTGAATAATAAGCGATGCTTTACCGCAACCACGAATGCTACTCGAGTAATATAATTACACGAGGCGAATTGATTGCGCCATCAAGCCCTTCGTGAAATTCTCGCTGCTTTGTTGCATTTATGTATCGGTGTTACCACTTTTGAGTTTGCATAACATTTTCTTGGTGTTCAACTTTTGGGGCTATTTAAAAAAAAACAACATCTTCTCTTCTTTTTTAAATGGAGCCGGGACACAATGTTTATAAGGGCGGCATTAAAGGTTTCGAAACGGGGGGGCCTTTTTCTTCTGGCTCATTAGCCGTCTAATCTGCCGAAGAAACGGCAGCCCTTCATGCCGCTTGCGAACCAGCAGCTGAGATTGTCATCGATATGAAAAGGTAAAGAAGCCAAGACTGGTTTGGAAGAATGTTCGGCGTTCTCCGACATCTTTTTGCAAATGCCAGATGTGCAGTGAGGCCGCAATCATTTATGGAAGGCCGGTGGCCGTTCTTGCGCATGACCTGATGCCTTGGCCAGTATTTTCCTTTGTTCTGAAGACAGTGGAAGTTCTGTGGAAAGAATTTCGAGCATAGGAGAAAAGAAGAGTTCAATGGGGGCTTCTAAGTTTGCGGGGGGCGAGATAGCTTTCGCACGATGCAAAGTCGACTTTAAGAACTTTCAAACTGGAATATGCGAAGAATAACGTAAATTGCTTTATGTTAACAATTTATGTGACCTTGAAGAAAAGTATCCTTTCAAGTTTGTTGGTCAGCACTTCGGCGTCGCATATAGCAACTTTTTGTGATTCGTGCTAATGTAATGCTCAGCCCTTGAATGAAAGAGTCACAGTTAAAATATCTTGTTTTATGGAAATGCAGAGCAGTATATAAGTCACATTGCAGAATTTATACACTTTTCAGAGAAAAATATTCGTTTTTACTGTTTCAGGCCGTTAGTGCACTCAGTTGAAAATAATTTCAAATTCCTGGCTTTAGTGAAAATCATTTGAATTTATATTTATTATCACCAAACAAGTCCTATGAGCAGCAGTCTGAGGTCTTGCCACGTTTTGTTTGGCAAAAAAGTCGTATTTGTAGGGCTTTGTATGTTCAGAGTTTAATGAAAAATAAACTGAGGTAGCTGCCAGAAAGATTCGTTCAACTACAAATACTATGACAGGGTGTCTAGCGACTGGGTATTGTCAGGGATATTGTCAAAAAGCGAGCCCAGTCAGGGAAATTGAGCCGGAAACGCCATCGAGTGCCCCGAGCAAAGGCTTCAGGACTTGGGGGCAGAAAACTAGGCAATAAATTCTGCTTGGAGCGAAGCGCGGGCTCTGCTCACCCGATGTAGAGTGTGCTACCCGATGCAAATAAAACAGCCGACAAATCCAGTCCAAGCCTTGGATTGGATTGGATTGAGGGCACGACACTAGGCTAGATCCAAGTAGAGCTACTAGATTTAGTAACAAATGGAAAAACCGCAGACCCCAATCCAAGCCGTAAGCCAAAAGTATCCGAAAGTGTGCATCTGGCGGCCATGCCAGCCATGCTGCCATCCGGTTATTGATGTGCGTTGTTGGCCGTTATGTTTTTATCGTGTTTCCGGAAGCGGCCTCTTCACTGATGTCGGCGGCAAGAAAGTGCTTGTTTAATCCGGGCTGGACAAACCTGAATATTTCGGAATATGCAAGTTGGATTATGCCCGTGAAAAATTATCCTCACAGTGCTCAATGCTCAATTCCATGTGTTGTAATGGTCTTGTATATTTAACCGCCTCTACAGTGGTCAGGGAATTTCACTGGAAAAGTCCGGGAATTTCAAATAATAATTTGCTAGACACCCTGATGAGAAGAAAACATATTTTAACAAATTTACTTTCCTAAGTTACGTCTATGGAGTTTAGACTAGATGATACCAGATTGGAACTGTCAGTATAATCCGTTAAGTTCTCTGTTTTTCTTTCTTGTGTTCAGCTTCCCAATCATTTTATCTTATCTAGGCAAATTTAATTGTTATCTATTGCTTTGTTTGTGGTTTTTGTTGTTTTTATGGTGAACATATCCCATATTGTATGATTTCTTGTATTAATTTTTGTTTCTTTTCTCCTCACTGTTTGGTGTTTGAGTGCTGTCCAGTCAAGCTGCTTTGGACTGCATTTATTTCATCAGCTCCCATTATACTTAGATAGCAAATAAACCTATTATTGTTATTTTAATATTACGCACAGTTTCTACGCGCATCGTCGTCATCAGCTTCCTCAAGTTCACAACGCAGCAAAATCGTCCCCCTTTTATTTTTGGTTTTGGCGATTGGTTTGCATCCACCGTCAACTTCATGCTTCTTTCACAAAATACCTCTTTTTGTTTGGCTGCTTGTGAAGCACGTGCAGAAGAGAAGTCCCAGGTTGATGCGCATTGTGGGGGGGGGGGGGGCCAATCTATGACGCATGTGCATTTTACAACGGAGCTGTCTGTGACTAGGTTCTGGCGGACGGTTTCCGGCGACGGACCGAGCGTAGACCAACAATTTTCAAACGCAACGATATATGCCCCACTTTATACTCCTCTCCACCGCTGCCGCCTCTTTCCTGAGTCGTGTATACTCCTCGCTACGTGCAACATCTCTCTCCCCCGTGACATTGCGCAATGCCGCTCTTTTTGGAGGCCTGCGCGCTCTTCGGCGGCTTCGCTGGACTTCTCTCTTCACGGGGTGGAAGGGCTCTCAATTTTTGAGTCACTTGCATCGGACAGATTGTTTGCCGGCACCTCCCAACGGACCTTTTTCGAGCATCAAGCGCCGTGTGGGGAGTAGTCTGCGAACAACAAACGAAGGGCAGCCCGACATGCCTCCACCCGTCAAAACACGTTGGCATTGTGTTGTTGTGTCGGGTTTCATTGCTTTTTTGCACCATGCTACCGCTACTGACAAAAGAATCAGCAAAAAGGACAGCAGACGCACAAAGACAAATGCTGAATATGTTTTCCATTGCATGCACATGTGTGCTGGAAAAAGGTCCATTCCAGCACACATTTGCGTGCTTTGTCAAAGTTGGCATATGGAGTCAAGCAATTTGACGGTAATAGCTTTCTCTCTCTCTCTCTGCTCGGTTATGCTGGGCGACGTTTTGAGCGACGGAACTAAAGCGCAAGGACCAGCCGCTGATAGAAAATGTTCGGGAAACGGCCCCATGAGTCAATTAAGGTCCACAGGTCAACGGTTGGGTCCACAAACCGTGCAGATTAACGGATCGGGCTGAACTCCTACCAAGAAGTATGGCCCAGATTTGCACCCCAAAAGCTTTTTCGGCTTTCATCGCTTCCGCTAAAACTGGGTGGATGACCTTTTATGGTTTATCATTATACGAGGTGTTTGGTTTTGAGCAATTCAGACAGTTAAAGATATACGTCCAAGGTACACTAATGCAGTTTGTGCAGGCGTGTTATATAATCAGGGGGACATAAGATAAGGGGCTAATCTTGACAGTAAGTAGGATAATTAACTAAATTTTGTTAATTAACTTTTTAATTGGTGAAAATAGATGTGTGGTTCTAATTAGAAACTTGTTGGCGAGTGTCATTGAAGACCACTAGATCAGTCAATTTTAGAACGACTCGAATCGTGGGGGGAGCAAGGGGGGGGGGGGGGGGGGTAACTAAAGTATTATTTGTTCAACAGGAGCAAAGCTAGTGATGGGAAAAATTGGAGGATAATCTAATCATTCACATTTTCAAACTTCAGCTTTTCTCCTGTTGCATGAATGGTACCTTTGGTGCGCTCCCGCACCTCCCACGTGCTTCGAGTGTGAATCCGATTTCAGGCTTTTGTTGACCGGCACCCGCTTGCCGAGTGGTGCCTGCAAACGGGCAGTTTCCTCGTCAGTTGGGACCATCCTCGTTCCAAGAGCCGCTCAGAAGTGGTTCGGTAGTTGCTTACCTACGATGCCTGGAGTGAACGGTGTGTTTGGCATCCTATTCCGCATCAAAAGTGGTTTCCAAGTGGCAGGAAACGACGCCAAAAAAGCTGCTGTGTCACGCCGTCGGAGGTGGTGGAGGTACAAGTTCTGGCAAAAAGCACAACAAGCACGAGTCCACGACAACTGCCAAAGTTCTTGAGGACAGCTGGAGAGTGACCTGCAGCAGAGCGGGTGTCTGCCACGTCCGGGATCGTGGCCAGCAATGGCGCGACGCATTTTATGACGTCAAGTGGAAATGGAGGGACTGCTTTTTAGGACGCAGTAGAGCATTCCAGGGAGCGTAGCATACCCGGTCGGTGGTGGCACCGACGTGACCAAGCCCCTCTGTGTGTTTGTGTGCAGGGGAGCCTTCTCCCAGGTGGTGCTTGCGGAGAGCCGGGACACCCCCGGCGTCATGCACGCCATCAAGTGCATTGACAAGAAGGCCCTCAAGGGCAAGGAGGACTCCCTCGAGAACGAAATCAAGGTCCTCAGAAGGTGAGAAGAGCTCGCTTTCGCTCGGTGCGCTCGTCGGACAAACCACGGACGATCGACGCAGTTACCTAAAGTTGAGGTTGGCATTGTCTTTTGGCTGTTCTTGCGTCCAAATCCTCGCTCGTGATCGGGCCTGCGGAGTATTTACAGCGCCGATCGAGTGAATGTATTTGAGTTGCAGTTTCCGTGAACTTCATTTGCGGACTTGCGGACTTTGCGGAAAAAGGCAAGCCTCGAAACCTTTTGTCGATGAAATTTTAGTGACTATAGACTTCTTTCGCATAACCTTGTACCAGCGCGTAACCGACATACCCTCGACCCGGTGCATTCTCGGATTGCCCGCTGACGCAGGGTATGCAACCGCCTTGGTAATGGGCGAAAAGGTCTTAGAAACGAACGTCGTGCGTGAGTAAGTTAGAGTGCTCCCCTTCTTTTGTTACGATTCCCCAAATCTACGGTTGTCTGGCTATCACTGCGTCGTCGTCGTGTGCACAGATAATTTTAATAAGATCGTGCTATGAGCACAAGAAACTGCAGCACGAGTGTGACTGCAGTGTTATTGAGCTGTACACATTCCACAAGGATCCTTATTTATGAAATCAGTTGATTTCAAGCGTCAATCGTGAGAGCTTTGTACCAGACTCATCGTCATGTTTATGCTCACGACTACTTTGTCTACGAGAGCACTGATTCCAACCCTGTGCAGGTGCTCAGTTATGTTTTCACTGCAAGGTATGCTATTGCTCCATAACATTTGAAGGGTATGAAAGTGTCTATGTGCCATTACTCATGATTCAGCTATCAAATGGTGAAAACTTACCTGCATGGACTACATTAAACTGCTCATATATACCTTCGTTGTTCAAACTCAGTCAAAGCACCCCATTGTCGTCGTCCTCGTTCTTTCGAGGAGGCATGGTGATGGCCTGTCATTAGCCAGCTCAATTGAACAGGCCAAGTTCCGGTCAATTTATTGTAGCCCACCGTAGCCAGGTCTAACCATGTTCCCACCCCCATACCCACACTGTTGCCCACCCAGATAGCTGTGCTGCCAGAACCAGCCAGTACTTGAAGCTTTAAGCCGCTAGACGGCTGCATTGGCACTGCAATTCTCAAGATGGCGGCACCCTTAAAAAAAGGGTCTATAGCTTATATGTAACTGCACTATGAAATTTCAGTCACTGAAGCTTACCCTAAGCGTACAATGAGATTTCAGTCATGGTCCCTGGAGCATGATGGCTGGTTTACACGAAGCAATGAGCGTGCTAGAATGGAGGATATGCGCGAATTGTAGCTTCCTGCGTGCTCTAACCAGGCTGGTCCTGATTCATTAATCCCAACTACATTTGCTCTCCTATGTTCCTTTTTTCTTTTCCAGGTTGAAGCACCCAAACATAGTCCAGCTTTTGGAAACATACGAAGACAAGAACAAGGTGTATTTAGTGATGGAGCTGTGAGTCTCGCACGCTTTGATGCCTCTATTTCTTGGGTTTTTGTTGCTGCCTCGTTACGGACGAGCACAGTTGTGCCAGTTGCAAACAGTTTGTCTTTTGAATGGGGAGTTTATTTAAAACTGACCGCAGGCAGAGAAGTGCTTTTTAATTTGTGACCGCCACAATGAATTGATGTTAGACGTGACCACCCGTTAATAAGTAACGTGTGGTTTCCAGACGAGTTGTCAATTTTGATGTTGCAAACCTCGCATGCATTCCTAATACTTACTGCTTCAACAAATATTTTCCTAGCAGTGATGTAGCAATATTCTCTCTGAAGCTGGCCTACAGCAGAAGCTTGATGTAGCAAGCTCTAGTGCATGAAAACTTCTCTTTGCTGTATCCGTGTCTTTTCAGTTTGTGATGCAATCATGCTAGCCAGCGATGCACCCTTGCTGCACTCATATTTTTAATTATACATATATACATAAATTCACTCTACAGTGTGTTGCTGAGCACTGTTTTGGTGTAAAAACATTGCAAGGATGGAAATTCAGTGCCAATTGCACCATGAACGAAAGGTGTTACATCTTGTGCCAAAATGTAATTTTGTCTACAAGGTTCGCGACGCCTGCACCAAGATAACCTCTAACAAAATAAATTTTAAAATATTTTAATATTGGTTGATTCTAATAATCAGACTAGCAGAAGGAAAGAAAAATGTATCAAATATATATTTTGCAGAATCATTACTCTCAGTATAGTTTGTTTAAATTAGGTAATAACGAAGTCAAAGGCTCGAACACATAAAACCACGAACTCACGCACTAAAGGCGTAAGTCATGGCGCATTTGCAGCGCTTGCCGTAGAGAGATGCTCCACCCCCGAAAGATAACCCGCCCCCTTTTTTTGGCATGATTTGCTATTTTTCGAAAAACACCAAAAGTTCCAGTTCTAGAAACTTCTAGTAATTGCAAGGCCCTTACCAGTGATGACCTCAGCAGAAATGGTGTCACTTAGCCATGGCGAAAGATAAGCGAGTCATTGGTGACTGAGAAAAACGGTCTTTGGTTCATCAGCTTCTCTCAGCGATCTCAAGTTTCGCAAATCACAAAATCTAAAACTAGCCATTTTTTTTTTTTTTTTTGACTTTTTATTGCACATTGGAAGTTGTCTTATTCCTTATTTCCATCGGATTTGCTTTCAATTTTAGTTGGGCTATTTCTCGAGATATTACGGTAGTCGATTGAGTCTATGAGAGAACACGTATAGAACGATGACCAATGCCTCGATGTCGTGCTCTCGATGCTGTTTGATTGGTCCCATTGGCTCGTAGCGTCTGCTGCACTTTGACCTAAAACGAAAGAAAATATAGAGATTGCTCGTCCACCGTGCCGGTCCCGTCATCGTCCGAGCTTCCAGACGAGGTCGGTAACATGGGCGTCTCAAAGTAGAGAGAAAATTTTGCAAAATAATGGGATGGCAGCTACTGCGATAATACAGAACCAGGACATTTTAATCTCGACGAGATCACTCGATCGTCGTATCTACCAGGTGTTTCTGTGCCGTGGCTACGGGCACAGTGTACGATAGCACCCGCGTTGCTCGGCCTTACCTTCACCGCCCGACACCAGTGCATGCGCGCCAAGTTTCACCACTTTGCAGGGGAGTGCTAGGAGCAGCGGTTCTTGGGGTAATTGCTATTGGCTCGGAAATTTTGCGGAGTATCGTTACATGCTCTCCTTCTTTGGTCTGACTTTAGGTTCACCTCTGATTCTAAAACTGCTGTGCCAAGAAAGGAGAAAAAAATGTGGGTGTATATTTGAATAAATACATTAGTCAATGTAGTTCCTAATCGACATTCATGGGAAGCGAGTTTTGACACAACTCTGGTTCCAACGCCGGTAAAGTGCAGTGTCAGTTTCAAAGCAAAACTGTAGGTTTTTATATTTGCGGGTGGTTGCTTTGCAATTTATGATATTATAATCTTGAGTTTGTTAGGTTCATAAAACTTGGAGGGACGTATTTCAGTTGATAGACAGTACTTTAGCAGGTATGTTGGGCTTTGCTGGTATTTTACGAGCATTTCATTTACAGGCTCAATAAACTACCGAGTGTAAAAGGGGGAGGGGGAGAAGACTTATTATCAGGTGAAGTGTCGAGCTATGCTTTATTTTTAAACTGATTTTTTTTTTTGCTGTCCATTGTAAATACAGCCTCCTCTGACCTGAGTTTTACTTCTGAAAAGAAGGTTGAATCTTCCTTTTGCGTCCTATGAATTTCTACTAGAAAAGACGATAAATAACATGCTTCGGTATAAACAAAGGGAAGCTTTAGTCATTATCCAAGATGAACTCATTTAGTGATCAATGCAGTCACTTTCTCAATTTCGAGCAATATGCTAACAGATGTTGGCATTTGCTCCGAACGCGTCAGTGGCTGCTCCAAACGAATACGGTATTGCCTGCTGCAAAAACTGCTACAGCAGTTCAGATGCCACTTCCATCGCTGAAATCCGTGCGAAGAAAGAAATGAATGGAATCCATTGAAACTTTTCACAAAGCTGTCTTTAGGAGGTGCGTTTGCCATGGTAAAATTTTATCAGTGTAGGTCTCGGGGAAACAAAAATGTATGCCTACAAAAACCTGTTTTGTCCAATGCACATGGAGGAAAATGCAAAAGCCGTCTGGCTGGCACTGCTGCTCACAGGTGGTGCCACACGTGCTCGGAATCGCTGGGTCTGCTTTCGGGCTTTTGCCTTATGTAGTGCCATCTTGAATCTTGCCGTTTTCCTCCCTAGAGATAGGAAAACACGGGACATTTATGGCTTACAGTTTTTTTTTCCTAATGCCTACACTTATGACATTTGAGAACAATATATGCTCACCTAAAGACATCTTTGTGAAAAGTTTCATTGCACTCGGTTCATTGGTAAGACATTTCTTTTACGCCCAAATAGCTCTCGGAAATACGCTGTAGGAAAGTTCTATCTTATTGTGTTTTTCAATGCCGGGAGGTACCGACGGACCTCCTGTCTCGGATATATAATCGAACTGTTTCAAATAGTATTGGAGCTGCACACATTTACGCCGTGTCTAATTCTGGAATCGAGACAAAATAGTGCTTCACTGTACGCTTGACACTTCCTGGTTGGTCACAGGGCTATGTGCTTTTGCCCGTCTTTCTTGCGTCGAAACGCAGTGACTCTCAAAGTCGTGCGTGTACTACGATTTAGGAAGCAGCTTTATCGTAGGTAAAATTTCTGACGTGAGGACTCTCCGTTGTCCAACTGCGTCATTAGGCCTTCCCACGTAGGTACAGTCACGACAGCATGAAAAAACCCCGGCGGCTGCGTGGCTCCATACACCTCCGGCGCTGTCTAGCCAAAGAAAGCTATCATTGAGGCTATTGTGTGATCGAGCGGCATTTCGGCGGATGTTCTGTTTTTGTCGCTGCTCCCCACTTAAGTCGGCAAGCAAGCGTCATTCCAGTAGAATAATAAAAAAAAAACATTTGTCATGCTTTATTCTAGAAACCTCTTATCAAACGTCCGAAAATTGATCACTCAGCCAGCCGACTTCGTAGATTCAGCCTCATTTTATTTTGTCTTTTGTTTCTATATTCCACAAAGTCGGCACAAGCTCAGCGACAGCTTGTCTAGGGGGCAGTGACGAGAGAATGGGAATGGCCACCAATGCCTCGATAATAATTGAGCTTTCATCCGACAGATAGCGCGGCAAGCCTTGTAAGCCACGCGCTCGCCTGGACTTTTTGGTATCGTCTGCGACTGTGCTTTGCCCCTCGGGTTGCTGGGTGGACGATTGGGTTGAAGCGCAGGCTTCTCTGTGCCGCACAGAGTGACGGGGGGAGAGCTGTTTGACCGCATCGTGGAGAAAGGGAGTTACACGGAGAAGGATGCCAGCGACCTGATTCGGCAGATCCTGGAGGCTGTAGACTACATGCACTCGCAAGGCGTGGTGCACAGGGACCTGAAGGTAACTCCCGTTCGTTGCACCCCGAGTCCCTGTCCATTACTTCCTTGTTGGTATCCCCAACTTCCCAGTAGTATCCTCCGATGCATTACTCCCTTTGAAATCGTGTCCTAGAATTACTGCCCCAACATCTACAACTGTTACTCCCCCCCCCAGGCATTACTCTTGTAGTGCTTTTCTTCAGGTTTTATTCCAAAGCACGGCATGCTATGTGCTAGCCCACTTCTTACTTTCCAACTCATTACTTCCTCTATGTTTTGAGGCATTACTTCCTCGACTACTCTATGTAATTGATCTGTGGAGGATTTGCAGACGTGACTAAGACCATATTCTTTGCAACCCAGAGGGTGATTGCATAGCTCTGCTTAATTCATGTGTAGACGAATCAAGTAGCGGATACTTTTGGATCGTAGTAATTCATAGATTGCAGTTGGCCCGCTCAAATGCTGCAACATTGTATAGTCGAATTGAAATTTCTTTCAAGGTATACTATTTGTGTAGTAAATAGGACATTTTGAACATCTACTGAAACTTGCAAACTTTTGGGGCTATGGACATAATCCTCCGAGTTGTATTGTACTCCACCTGCACACGATGACTACCCGTCACTGATGTTTGCTTGTGCATACACACTAAGTTTGTAGACATTCGGGATTACGACATGCTATGATCCTCTATCGACAGTCGCTACGACTGTCGATGTCACAGTATTGCATTGTCGGCGACATTTTAAGATCCAAAGCGGAAGACAATTAAGTTCTTTATATCCTTACTAAATAAAAAGAGAAACTCAAAGTATACGGTCTGATATCCTAAGAACGAAACTGTGAAAAATTCTACAGGATACGCCAAGGGACGGGTACCGAGGTTTTTCGCAGCGGTTAAAAGAGCCATGTATCGTGGAATGCTGTTCTAGTTTCAGTGATACACAAAATATTTTTAGCCAACTTCCAGCATTATGACGATAACCCCCAAATATTTACTTTCACTATCCCCTTAACATATCCTCACACACCCCAGATTAAATATTTATCGAGCGACCAGAGCCTACGTGACGTGCCAAACAATCTTGTATATGGAGGGATACATTTATATCAAATGAAAGCTCTTTAGAATATGCGCTATTTTCTTATCACACTTAGTACAATATCTGCTTGATCCCGTGTATCGGTTTTAAAGATTACATGAACATAAACCTCCTTTTGGGTGCGCTAACCTAGTAAGTAGCTGCGGGTCCTTCCATTGGTCATTAAAACTGGGGCGCATTTTTCTACTTCTGTTTCATCGTTTTGGTTGAGTTAAAGTTTCACCCTCATGCGTTGGTGTCTGTCTCATCATCTGCGCTCCCTTGGCGAACGCTTGCAGCCCGAAAACTTGCTGTACTATTGTCCTGAAGAGGAGTCCAAGATAATGATCAGCGATTTCGGGCTTTCCAAGATGGAAGACTCTGGTATCATGGCGACTGCCTGCGGCACCCCCGGCTACGTCGGTAAGAGTCCATCCATTGCCAAATTGTTAAGCATGAATGACGCCCCTTGTAACTGCACCTCTTTTAAAAAAAAAAAGAAAAAAAAAGCTTTATCTTAATTCTATGAATAAAGTTGGCATACACAGAATGTGTTTCTGTGGCATTCCTCGAGGTTTGTGGTGGACAATGTAGTTGTTTTTTTGTTTTTTTTCGGTTATAGCATGTCACTTTATTACAAACTCTGTCCTTTATTATGTGATGGTGGGCACATCTAGGATTTCTTGTTCGTTCCCATAAGCTGTTAAAACGTGAACACCCGGTTAGTACAGACTACCGTGGTAGAGTCAAAGCCAGCTAGCTTTGCGTCTACCAACCTATTGGCCCAGTGATAGAACGTTGAGCTCACAGTCGTGGGGTCATGACTTCAGTCCCCATTGTTTAGAATTTTATTCTTTCGTTCTCAATTTGCCACTTTTCTGTACATATTGTCCTCCGAGATACCTGTTGCACTTTTCGCAACGGTTTTCGTGGTGCTCCGTTACACTTTCCTCAAGGACCGTTCTTGGCTAAAGATATAGATTTTCCTCCTCATAAATCTTTTTTTTTTTAAATATATTTAAAATGGGGCTGCCACTCAAATGTTCATATTCGTGCATGATATTCTGTCAACGGAATCTTGGTTAAATGAAAATGTGTGTGGGATGCTTCAGCTGCTCTGCTGCCCCACTGTGCGCCGGGGCGTGCCGGGAAAGCCCCCGTTCCAGGTTGACACCCGCAGGTGCAGGTGGCTGGAAATCATTAAGTGAGGATGTTCTTGAACTGTGGAGAAGTGTAATTGGCAGTTGCTTTATCGTTATTTTTTGAGTTGGATGCACAATTTCAAAGCCGACTTTTATTAAACTTTCTTATTGATGCCATGGACTTAACTTTTGTTTGACTTTTTGTTATGAATGTTTGGACCCACAATGGGGGGGGGCAGATGCTGTTTTGAATTTTGTGTGTGAGCTATATTCCAAAATTTTCTTACATTTAAAATGAAATAGTTTAACGATTCCTTGATCCTCGAGTGTGAGATTTCTATCTTTGAAAGCCAGATAACTATGGAACATCCTTCAAAAGACAATGAGGCATACTGTTCATGGGCGCTCTTCCAGTCAAATCGGGTGCTTAACATTTAATTTGTAGGATTCACAAGTTTGAGAAATGGGAATAGTGGGCACTTGATAGAAGTGGGCACTTCCGCGGTATTTCACAGTAGTTTTTAACGTGAAACATTCTCCGGCTAGGTTTTTGGCATTTTGTGAAGCCTGGATAAAGGTGAAGCTTGGTAAACACATGGATTTTGGAGTGGTGGGGCTGGGGGGGAGGGAGAGGGGGAGGGAAGGGAAGGGAAGGGAAGGGAAGGGAAGGGAAGGGAAGGGAAGGGAAGGGAAGGGAAGGGAAGGGGAGGGGAGGGGAGGGGAGGGGAGGGAGGGGAGGGAAAGGCAGGTCCTCGAAAAAAGCTTTTAAAATATTGCTGCTAAAATAAAAAGAAACTGCCGGCTTGGCCCGCCTTGGCCTCCTTTGTAGACTTGAATGCAAGGCCCGTGCCCAGCTTGGGCTCTTCATGAATGTAGCCGTGAAAGGCAAAGTTGGGGTGCCGTTTTGAGGAAAAGCCCTGTGTCTGGCAGATTCCAAGTTGACACCCTGTCACACGTTTTAATATGAAACAACCTTTGGCTAGGTGTTCAGTGTTTCGTGAAGCCCAGATAAACGTTAACGCTGGGGAAAAGCGTTGCCGCAAGGCTCGACGCTGGTTATTATCTTTATCGGGTGGGAGAGAAGGAGTGAGCTGCCTGACGCTGATTGGTTAGCGGGCAGGTCACGTGACCAGAGGTGTGGACGAGGAGGAGTGAAGTAGGTGTGGAGGAGCTTGACCACAGGTGTGCACCGAGGGAGAATAGTTCGAGAGTATGGAACGCTCTGGAAGGTGGCCAGGTTCATCAGCCCGATTAGCGGTGCTGTTGCTTCATTCTGGGAACAACTATCAAGTGTACTCTTGCCACGTGTTAAACCATCTGATGGCACGTTGAGCGTAGGCGTCTGAAAAGTCAGAGTATCGCTAAACGTTTGTGACGTGAGAAGGTTTCACCTGTCCAACTCATTTGCCTTGCAATTTGCCTTACCATTTTTTTTTATTTCCTCTTTTTGTCTTCGCAGCTCCAGAGGTTCTAGCTCAGAAACCTTACGGAAAAGCTGTTGATGTCTGGTCCATAGGAGTTATAGCTTATATTCTGTGAGTATTTCCAGCAATCCTCAGAGTCACTCGACAACCATAAAGCCACCGTACGGCATGTCCCCAAAACATTTCCGGGTTTTTTTTTGACAAAAAATAAACTGTGCTTTGCCAAACACTTGTTTTCCTCCCAAATGTAGCGCTTGTGGTTCACACCAGACGGGAAAGTTTCCCAGATAACCGTCACCTTGTAAAAACCTATAAGTAATTTTCTGAAACTTTCAATGGGCAAATGGGGCTCCATTTTCGTCCGTCTTCAGTAACTGGTGCCATTCAGCTCCATGTATTCAAGAGGTTGGCCGGCCACCATTTTGCCATTGAAAATTTTAGGAAATCACTTAGAGCTTTTTAATGAGATGAGTGTTATTTCTGAAACTTTGGCATCTCATTTGGACCGCTAGTGCCTCATATAGGCGAAGAATGAGTGTTCGGCGATGCCTAGGTTATTTTTGCGGTGAAAAAAAACCCCCGTGAATTGTCTTTTGGGACATCCTGTACATGGCAGCGGCACTAGGTGTCAGCACTAGACACGAAGTGCCAGAAGCTGAAACAGTAGCCTTCACTCTTGTCGCGGGAATGGTTGGGGCAACGAGACAGCTAGCAGCGCCCGACGGCTCTTTTATTACGAGGACGATCGCTCCATCCATTCGAGCTCATCGATTTAAGCTTGAACTCTGGCATGGGGATGTGAATACAGACGGAAATTATTGAACTTGGGAAAGATGTTTGAGCCCGTTAAAAATTTGGTGTGTCGCAAGAGCCTTCCGTTTAAGTATCCTCAGCAAGAAGGATTAGCAGGCGAGAGCCGATTCCTAACCAGGCAGCTCTAGAGCGACTTGACAGGGTGTTTCCGAGTGCTATACGGACATAAAAAAAAAATTAATATCAACCGAGTGCAATGAAACTTTTCACGTAGCTGTCTTTAGGTGGTGCGTTTAACATCTGAAATTTCGTGAGTGGATGTTTTAGAAAAAATGTTAAGCCTCGAAAATCATTTTTGATTTTCAGTGCGCTGAAAGGAAAATGGTAAAAAAAACTGTTTGGATGACGCTGCTACTCAGATGGCATAACCTAAAGCAAAAATGTGAAGGCTTCTCTGAGATGAGCACCCGAAAGCAGATCTAAGGATGTGCGGCACCATCACCAAGTAGGAGTGTCAACCAGACGGCTTTCTACCGTTTTCCTCCCTGTGCATAAAAAAAAAAAAAAAATAGTTTAGGCATTAATATATATATATATATTTTTTTTAAGTTTTACTTTTGCAATATTAGAGTATGATAAATTCTCCTCCTAAAAACACTGTTGTGAAAAGTTTCAGTGGACTCCATGTATTCATTCATTTGTGCGAAGTTTTTACTCTCCAATAGTGCTCGGACATGCCTGCCAGAAGCACCTCGAGCATGCTGAGTTACTAGAGAAAAGAAAAAAGTTCCTAGTGGGCCATCTTTGGTAGGGGCTGTGTTTGACTTGGTCCTTCCTTGTTTGCTTTTGTCTTTTGCATCTTCCCTGCAGGCTCTGCGGATATCCGCCGTTCTACGACGAAAGTGACGCAAACTTGTTTGCTCAGATACTTAAAGGGGAGTTTGAGTTCGACTCTCCGTACTGGGACGAAATCTCAGATTCTGGTGAGTTGAAATGCTACTCTCGTTTTCTCTCTCGTCCGGGCATATTTAATGTTTTCGCTAGGAAGAACGTAGGTAAGTTTGCAACACTTAGTCGTCGACCAATTTTTCGGATGCCAAAATTTCCAACGCGCCCGATCATTGGGGCAATTTTCCGGAACTGCCATTTGCCCCATAGAGTTAATGTTAATCGCAGTAAGCGATAATCCGAACAACGTCACTCAATCTTTGAACTCTCTAGCGACCATAGTACCAGCACCGCAATCTGAGCCTCTGCCAGTTTCTCTTTTATTTCGGTTTGGCCTGTAGTTTTGACACCGCATTCCACATGTTGTATGCCAGGAGGCGTCGTCCATGGGACGCAGAAGCTCGATTGAGCAGTCGGTATCATCCGCTTCTTTTCGTGCCATTGAGGTCGATTTCGTTGGCACTTCCGTTTTCTGCCAAGCACGGAGAGATTGCGGTCCTTTAAACGTCCGCGTACCGTTTGTCGTCGTCGTCTCCGAGCAATGTACAATGGCACCGACCGCATCTTCAACTTCGTCGTCTACGTCGACGGCTAGGCTCAAGCCTCTGTGAAGCCCAGGCATCGCTTCGCCCTTTGCCGCCGTTCTTCGTTCATAATTTTGTTTATGGACAACTCAACCGACACCATCGTGACACTCCAGAAGTTCACAGACGTGAACTTCTCGCGAACTATCGACCCGTTTCTCCAAGATTTTTTGTTGAAATTCATTTTTCGGGCCGCTTAGTTACTTAGACCCCCTCGCGATCCCGATGGAATCTGAATAATTGGTTGGCAACTGTAAGTGACGCATTTTATTTCGCCGCTTTTGGTGGAAGAAAGAGGTAGTTGGAGACGGAAAGGCGAGAAAAGCGTCGGGGGTGACTCGTGCTACGGGTTGACCGGCAGCTGGAGCCACCGTCCCGCCGCTGGCACATGGTACAAAAGACAATGGGGCACCTGCGGACGTGCCTAGAGCACGTTGGAACATGTCTCCAGGTGGCCTCGGTACGACCGAAGCGGCATTGTACGAGGAAGAAAGATGCGCGACGTGTTAGCGGTGCGACCGCAGCTTTAGGGAACGAAAGCAGTGAGCTGCATGACGGCGAGCGTTCACGTAACGGCGGTTACAGCGATTACGTCTCGTCGTTGCAGCCAAAGATTTCATCCGTCACTTGATCTGCGTCGATGTGGAGCGACGGTACACCTGCAGGCAGGCCCTGGCGCACCCATGGTGAGTCGTCTGTTTCGTCTTTCGGTCGTTGCCGTAGTACGGAGTGAATACTGCGGGGCGTGTTTTTCGGATGCCTCCGGCACGCGCTCGTCGCCTTCCCTCGTACCTTGGCTGCTCGTGCGCCGCAGAGGTAAAGGGACACCGACGGGGCATTTATGCTCGCCAAGGTTTTTAATTGTACGTGGCACGTGAGAACCCAACTATGCGGAACACAGTTTGCGGCACGAAAATCGTTTTCTTTCTGCGGGAAAACCGCCAATCGAGAACTTGCCAGTTTTAGTCGCGCTCATTCTCTTCTTTGGGGTCACGTGCCGTTCTCTATGGTTGAGACGCAACCACCGATTATAATCGAAGGTGCTCGCTCGATATTAAGAAGTAGAAAAAAAAATATGATACCCATTATTTGTGGCTTCTAAAAAACTGCAAATACATTAAAATAGAAAAAAAATAAAAAATGTGCAGAATTTAAAAGCGTCTTGAGCGTTCTCTGCGTAATTTTCATCAACGTATCGTATCTCGGAAGTCACGGACTGGATGGCTAAAAGAAGCTGACTAAGCGGTGGCGACGGTACACGGGCATGGGACCTCTACTTCAGAGAACTGTACTGTTGTTCACGGTACTGGCGAATCTGTCTAGCTCCGAAGGAGAAATATTTTACTGATAAAAGAAAAATGAGGATTTATTCCGTAAAACATGCCTGACCACCAAGCTGATTTGAACGAAGACAGTACCACCGAGTCGTCGCTCCTTCGCCTGGCTGAAGACATTGCTCGTCTTACGAGCATGAATTGGTAAGGGCTGGAAAAATTCGCAAATGTCAAGTATGACGTGCTTGACTTTTGCAGTTTTTGGACGATGTGCGCGATTTTCGTCCGCATCACACAACCAAAAAAAACGAAAAATAAAAAAAAAGAATGCGGTCGGATGTAGCTGCGTGACTTCCGGGAACTCTCTCCTCCTCTACATTTTATCTTTCTCCCCAGTCCATTTTCGGTTTCGAGCAGTTACTTTTTTTACTTTATTAAAGATATATGTGACACTGTAGCCGAATATTGATTGGGCAGTGTCTTTAAACACCATATAAATGTGGCAAAAACATTTTGGAAAAGTTTTGTGGGGTGTCAGTGTCCCTTTAATAGAATAATTTAGAGCAAAAAGGTCCTGCACATTGTGCCCACTTCGCAATGACAGGGCATAGACACGGACATCGGCGGCAAAGACGAGAGAAAAGACGCGAGCTTGAGCAGCTGTGTGGGGCAGCAGCGCTGTGGAAGCTATCATGGGTTGGACGATGTCACACAAGAAAGTTGATGCCAAGCCTAAGATTTTGCATTACGTATCAAATCAAACCAGTTTATCTTTGCCACAAGGGTTACATTTGTGATGAGAGGGCTGAAAATAGGAAATTAGGCTTACAAATGCGAAACCATTGCTTCCAGCAAAGCGGTGATGTGAGCAAAGAAATTGAACAAGTGGCTGCAGGTTAGTTGAGTGGCAGGTATTTCAAGGTTGGTCTGGGCGTATCGTAAGCTCTAGGGAATGATAATTGAAATGAAAAACGGACAAAAGGGACAGCACTCACAAGTGACGTGGACGTAAGAAACTACTTTTTCGTTGCGCTACATATTTTGGTTTTCTGCTTGTTGGTTTAGTCACATTTTCTGCTTTCCACTTACGTCGCCGATTTCCGAGGCGACTTTTGTTTTCAAGCGCACCTTTTGTGCCCGTTGTGGCTTGCCGTGCTCCGACGGAGGCAGGGGTGTCAGTTGCATGCGTCATTCTTTGTTATCCCAGGATTTCCGGCAACACGGCGAGTGACAAGAACATTCACGGCTCCGTGAGCGAACAACTGAAGAAGAACTTCGCCAAAACTAAGTGGAGGGTGAGTGTAACCCTGCAGCAAATCTCCTCTCCCACATCCCCTTTCTCTCTTCTGTGACCAGGTTCTTTAAAGGGTAACTGCAAAGGAAAAAAAAAAGATTTTTTTAAACAGTCTAATTGGGACAAGCATGTCAAAAAACAATTTTTCCGCGAGAAAAAAAATTTTTTACAGCAATATTTATTGCGTGAGACTGATTTTAGTTTGCAGCTATTTCGCCCATTTTAAATCGCGCGCCACGAAGTTGGGATTCCGTGACGTTAATCCCAATCGGCTGCTATACTTCTCATTGGCTAAGAGTTTGATTGACAGCTTAGATCTTGGTTGTTAAACCTTTGTCATTTGTTGCAATTTCCTTTTGAGCGGCATATTTTCACGTTTAAAGAATAACCCATGTGATGAGAGTTATTATTCTTTACAAAAGGTTCACAAGACGGGCACTTCCGTTTGGATTCGTACCATAACAAACAAAAGCTTCGCCATTCTTTCATGGCCGCCGAAGTCTCTGCTCCCGCCTGTCTCGCCTACCTTCTGACTCTACTAAATTACGTCCTGTGGCGTAAATATTGATAAAAAAAAATCATTTTTTTCACGGAACATTTGTTTTGTGACATGCTTGTCCCAATTAGGCTGTTTAAAAAAAAACTTTTTTTTCTTTGCAGTTACCCTTTAAGATCTAGAGCGACTATAGAACATAACGCCAAGGGTTTGACATTTTTCAGACATTTTCCAAATATTACAACCCGTACAAGTAGCGTGGCTATGCAATTTTCCTGGGAAAATTGCCTCCATGAAAAAGTGCTTCTATTAGATTTTAAAAGTTCCTATTTCAACCAATGCCTTGTAGGGTAAGGATGCTACTTTTGCTTTCAAAGTGCCTTTCCTATTCAGACAGATGAGTGAGCGCTGATGGCGTCATCCAAACACAATTGCACACTTTCAAGCTGCAAGAAGCCCTGGAAATTATTTTTAAAAAAGAACTGATTTTGGGTTTTGGATTTTTTTGCACATCACTTTCCAGTTTAGATTGAACTGCCCTTTATGACTGTCAACCTATATTTTTCATGGCAAAACCTGTCCAAATCGAAACTGGTCGAAATGAAAATCAATCTTTAGACTCTTTGATCTGCAGCAGTAGTATAATGCGGTAGAATGTATGTATCGCAAAGTCATCTTACAGAGAAACTTCTTTACTTCAGTCGTATTTTAGCTATCTCAGTAGTTCAAATGTCAGCACCAGCACTGCTGCGAGCATATCCACAACTCTACTATAAGGAAGATTTGGGATAAACTTTGATTAAGTGTATTGTGAATCTTGATAAGCTGTGGTAAACTTGCATTAAAAAAAGATGGTGGTCAAGTGTTAATGATGATACTTAGATTGGAAAAAGCTTGAAGTGGGACTCATCACAAAGATATTCAAGTATTACAGGTAGAGATGTCAGAATCCTCCCAAGGTGCAAATTAGGAAAGTTTCTAAATTTTGGTCTGAAAACCCTCCAAAAGTTTGTCTTCAATTTTTTTTTAATTTCTTCGAGGTTCCAGTTAGAAAACTTGAGAGGCATCTAGTTTTTCAAGTCTAAGTTTGTAAAGTTTAAAGTCTGATAAATTCAAAGTTTCGAATTTATATCCAACAGCCTTTTTGTTCACTTAGAAGCTGGCACACAAGCTGCGTTCAGCAAAGCCCAATCTCAGCTCTCGATAAGGCTGCCAAAGTCATCGTTGCCCCCCTACTATCTCGAGATCAATGCTGCCACCAGCTTGTTAATTGAGTTAAGAGCTTTATTGTGAGTCTTCTGCAGTCTTTTAGGATTCAATTACTTCAATTTTTGGCGATCGTGCATCCTTGCCAGTGCAGTGCAAGTGTGATCGTCGGTAATTTGCGGCAGTTGCTAAGTGGTTTGCAGTTAGTCAAACTTTTGTAGGTTCAAAAGCTGAAAATTTGCCGAATCTTTGGTAAATTCATTCTAGAAGTTTGAAGATCATTCAATTTGTCACCATAATAAGTTTGAAGTTCGTTAAATTTCTCAATAATAAATTAGAAGGAACATTTTTGCACGTTATAAATTCCTTGGCTCAAGCTTCGAACCTCGAGTTTAAAAAGGTGTGCTGCATCTCTAGTTTTAGGCACATTTTTTGTAATTGAGGCTTGAGGTAGTGGAACTCGTAACAAAGATGCTGAAGTTAAAACTAGGAAGGCTCGTTCACTCTCACGACCGAGCGTCTTTTTGATCTCTTAGGACAAGAGAAGACACTGGCGCCAAAAATCGGGAACACTCCCGTACATTTTCTATTTCTGCGATCCTTTTTTATTAGCTTGAAAAAGTTTTGACAGTCTTACCTTCTCCCAGAGAGAGTGCATACACTTGATCTTGTCAACTGCAAAACAGTCGCTTTAGTGAAGTTCCGAGGCTACTTCGTAGGTGACACCAGTGTTCTCTCGTCGTAAGCGGTCACAAAAACTCGGATGTAAACGAATCCAGGTGCGTGATTGGGCCGTTACAAGTGTCTTTGGTAAATCGAGAGAAGTTTCAAGCGATACTTAAGACAAGGACTCTAAAGTGTTATGGATGTGTTTTAAATTGAGAGAAGTTCTGTGTAGTGGAACTCATAACAGATATTGAAGTATTGCAAACTCCTTAGCGCGAGATGACTCCCCGTTGAAAGCTCTTACTCTTGCTTCAAGTGGAACTTAAAGTAGGGACTCTGAAGTATTACAAATAACCTTTTAAAGCATGAAATTGTTTTTAACAGAACCCCCGATCCCAAAATTCTGTCCGCTGTTCCTGCTAAATATAGGGGGGAACTAAATTGGTGTTTAGGTCATGTGACGTGACGTGATCCATACACCATAGACGTTATGCAAATTTGCCTAGTGGTCTGACAACACCAAGCACGTCGCTATTTTATAGTTGGCAAGCATCGTCGGTACCGAAGCACGGTGGAGGCCTTGGAGACAACCGTACGAGTAGTGTGCAATGGCGCGGCAGCTGTGTTTTCCGCCTTCCAACCATGGAATCTGGACGAACAGTTCAAACAACCTACTGCAACTGTCTGACGAAACTCTCAGAGGCCTGTGCGCGCTAGCAACAACCTCGTCGAAGCAGCGGAGAAGGCCTTACGCCTTCGCCGTAGAAGCTCACATGCTGCGGGTTGTTGCCAGCATGCGCAGGCCTCTGAGAGCTCTGTCAGACAGTTGCGGTAGGTTGTTTAAACTGTTCGCCCACATTCCATGGTCGGAGGGTAGAAAACACAGCCGCCGTGCCAGCGCACACTGCCTGCATGGTTACCTGCGATGCCTCCACCATGCTTGGGTACTGACGACGCTTGCCATCATTAAAATAACGACGTTCTCAGTGTTGCCTGACCACCAAACACTTTTGCGTAAGGTCTATTAAATTTCCCTGCCAAAGTTGGCTGGAAAATTTCTGTCACATGACCTAAACGCCTCCAGTTTCTCCGCTAAATTCAGCGAGGAAATCGACGCCACATGACGTGTGCACCCAGTGTATCGGAGAAATTAATAAAAGCGAAGGTTGTTCACTCCCCAAAACGACGGTTTAATGCCTCCTAATAATTTCAAACAATCGCACCTTAAATACTACAATTTATGCATTATAGAACTTTAGAAATAAAGGTTGCTGCCAATTTAATTAAATTGAGAGAATCTCGAGGCAGGAAACTCATAACCAAGATCCAGGAGTTACCGATTACTCGGTGCAAGTTGACTTGACCATTGAGCGCTCTACCGTGGCAACAGTAATGACGTTGCTTCCGTTTCCTGCGCAGCAAGCGTACAACGCGACGGCGGTGATTCGGCAGATGCGCAAGCTCGCCATGAGCAGCACGGGAAGCTCGCAGGACGGAGGCGGTCCCACGGACGCCTCGACCAGCGGCCGGCGCCCGGTCCCGTCGCCCCCCGCCAACTCGGACTGAACACCAGCCCCTCCCTCTCCACGACCGACGCATGTGACGCCTCTCCCTCCTTGCCACTCTGCCCCGGTGTGCTCGAGCGGGCGTCGGGAAGATGCGGCTGCGAGATCGTTTGACAGAACGAGCGCTGGGCGCACGGGCCGGAGAGAAAGTGGCTGCCTGGCAACCACGCGTAGCTGGCCACAATTGGCAGAAAAAGGGGTTTGAGCGGGAAGCCTGAGCTGGCTCTTCACGAGGAAATGAAATTTATAAGAAAGGCTGAACTGGTTCTTTACGAGAAAGAAAATCATAAGGAAGGCTAATCTGGTTCTTCGTGAAAAAAAAAAAATTTATAAGAAAGGCTACACCAGCTCTTCACGAAAAAAAGAAATTGATAAGGGGTGCTGAACCAGTTCTTCACGAGAAGAAGAAATTTATAAGGGCTGAACCTGTTCTTCTCGAGAAAGATAAATTTTTAAGGGGTGAACCGGTCCTTCGCAAGAAGGAAAAGATTATAAGAAAGGTTGAACTGGTTTTTCATGAGGAGGATGTCTTGGCAGAAAGGCTGAACTGCTTTTCAGCAAGGAAGGAGGTTTTAACATGGTCTGAATTGGTTCTGGCGGAATTGTTTTTTTTTTTTTTTTACTTGCATAAAAATATGAATTGTTCTTTGCAAGGAAGAGGTTTATAAGAAATGTTTAACGAATTCTTCATGAGAAGGATGTCTTAGGGGAAAGACTGAACTGGTTCTCAACAGAAGACTTTATAGAGAAAGCTGAACTGACATTTCATGGTTTATCAGGAAGCATGATAAATGGAGCTTCTAGCAAAAATTTTGAAGTGATTTTCTGCAAGAAAAAGGTTGTAGTGGGAAGCCAGAACTGGTTCTGTGTAAATGCTAGTGGTGGAATGGTGTACAGCAATGTTAAAATATTCTGAAAAATGTTCTGAGAGGTTTAAAAATTTTGTATGTTGCAAAGCTTTCATGAAGGAATGAAGCCAGGAGGTGCAGTCAATAGGGCACTTAGACGGACAATAATTAGTCGCCTAAACGAGTTTTTATGCATTTTCATGAAGAGTGAATACTCGGCATAGCAATTGTAGTGTTAGTTGAGGATAATTTTTGTTTGTAGTTATAGCTAACAGGTCCCGCGGTTGTAGCCAGGCACACATTAATTCTGTTCTTTATTTTCTGATTTTATATTTTTGAGAACTGCGAGCAACAAAAGCTATATTTTCTTTAGCTAGGATTTGGAGTACAACCTCAGGGTTTCCGCTGCTGACTCTTGTTTCGTGGGGGTCCATCCAAGACAAAAACGTTTTAAGACGAAGAACCTAGACACGTATATAAGCGACGAAAAAGCGATCGCCCAAGTGCCCATTCACGTCAAACGGCTGGAGAAACAGCTAGGCCCTTCGCTGGCATTGTGCAGATTAACGCGGATCGGGCCGTGCTCGCGCCCAAGTGCGATCGATTTGCAGAACGGTCAACCGCAAAAGGCGACATCGTTCCCGACGCCCCTCGACGTTTGTGCAAAGCGCTGCAGACTCTCACACTTTGGACATTCCTTTCTTGTTACCCGGTCGCTTTCCCTTTCGACGCAGTCTCGTCACGGGACGTTAGTTTCGGCCTGTGCGAAACGACCCTGGTGCTGTTCTGCCGCCCCTCCGTGCGTCGCAAGAGGGGTTCTGTTCCTAAGCCTCCAACCCGCGTTGGGTGGGACGCACCGCCAACGGGGAGACGAGAAGCAGAAGCTCTCGCGCGAGCGAGATGTTTCTTGACATGTCTTTGCATCTGTTGTGCTGTGATTCAGCTTTGTGTTCATTTTATTTCTGCACGTGGAAGGTCAGATGACGCTAGCGGAGCTACGTAAAGATAGTAATTGCGTTGCTCGTACGCTTAGACAGCGAAAATTTGGTCGGCCCCAATGACTCCGGTTAAATTCCTGTTCGACGTATTCTTTCTGAAACAAAGGCCAATTCTCTTTGCTTCAATTCTGTATTTTCTTTTTTAAACTAGTAGGTGTTACATGTATTGTCATTCCACTCGTATGGCGTTCCACTTACCTTGTTTCACACCAATCTGCTCCATTTAAAGCTTTCAGAAAATGCTTTTTTTACATTTATTATTTACAAATACCAATTATCTGAAACACTGCTCGATATAAATTAGGAAGTATGTGAAACACGGTTCTTCCTGCTGAAGCGAAACTTTTTTGCAAAGAGTTTTCAGTTATAACTGGAATTTAACTGGAATGAGATTAAGAGTGTAGAGAGAAATTTTGCCAGTGCTACCCTGGGGTTTTTAACGAACGTCACATAGTATTGGTACACAACCGCATGCCGGTGCGATGCTCATCCAGATCGAAACGGGCGGCAGTGGAAAGTGAACTTGGGATAGCTACGTACGCCAAAGTGAACGATTGCCGGCACCTCGAAACTGCTACCAACGTTTCGTAGGTTGAAGGTGCGAAGAATCGCGTAAAATTAATCTCGATTTATGGAGTCAAGGCAGCCATTTAATGACTCCCTGATGCGAAGGATGCAATCGTTTTTCAAGTAAAAGAGGTTCAAATTGAGTGTGGCAAACTATGAAACCAGTTATTGTTGAACGCATATTTATTTTTTATACATTGTGTTACGTGAAATTTGAGTATTGGTTTAGCTACGATAGACAGTCCTCCGACGAAAGATATGTTTTTGTTTGTTCCAAACGTGCAAGTCCCCTAACACGACACAATCCAAAAGGGCAAGGAGACTGGTGCAACCATTTTTTTTTTTCTGCATTTTCTATCGCAAAGGAAGGCCACAATTGTAGTCCGACAAACTAACTTATCTAAACTCTCGCATTCCTCTTCTCAATCGCTAGTAGCGGTCAAGATTATAAAGACCTCCTTTAGCGCTCGGACTCAGTCAGCGTCGAAAGCAGTTTTGGCAGTGAAACTGGGATCCCAGCGAACGACGGAGATAGATGACGGGAAGGAAAATTGGAAAGCATTGGGCCGTGTCTTTTTATTGCTTTCGCTGCGCTAGAGTCAACCGACCACAAGATGTCCGTGTTTTTTGCCGATCATATTTTACTCCTGTAATGCATTTATACTTACTTAAAACGTTCCTGCGGGCGTCTTCGACGCAGCCGCCGAAGTCCGTCGTTTACGAATCTCTCCTTGCAGTAGCCCGGAGTTATAACGCTCTTTATAAAATGGGCCACATTTATTTTTTTATACTTTCCGCGTCCTTTTTGCCGTGGTCCGCGCTCTCTCACTTGTCGGCGCTAGTCAGCCGTCGCCCGCTTTGCATGTCTCGTTTTCTCAACTCCCGCGTCGAGCTCAGATTAGTCGACGTACACCCCCTTCCCCCGAGCGTCCGTCGAGGTGCAAGTTGAGGAGAAGCAGAGCCGGTAATAATGGGGGACGTAGCAGCGAACGTTGGGTAGACGCCACCGCGCTCAGTCAACATTGCTCACTTCTCGGGGCGTTGAAAAGGGAGTGTCACGATAGCACGCGCGCTGGATGCCCTTTTCTCTGCAACGTTTTTGCGGCCATGAGAGGACGTTGCGTGCATTCTTGCGTGCAATATTCTTGTTGGTTGCAATATTCTGGTCACGCGCGTGAAGAGGTCGCGGGGACGACCTCCAACTTTTTCTCGTCGTCGAGTGGCCTCTAGAAAGTCGCATCTCAAGGTAGCAACATGCCTCGAGCACCGCTTTGTCGATGGTCATTTGACCCGTCTCGAATCGGTGTAGTGGTATCTCACTTTGGCGTTGCCGTGCGGGTAGACTAGACGTTTGAAACGTGCCAAAAGGAAACGTGCTCGAAGAGAGATCCAACGGCTCTCCAAATATGCAGTTTTGTGTCCAAACTAGAAAGACCTATATTGCGTTTCAGGTGCAGTCATTCGTTTCCCCTCGTACGTTCGGTGATACCCTCCGCCAGCTACCACGAAGCCCACGGATGCCGGAATTGTTGTTGCCGGCTCACGTCGTGGGACGAGTTTCTTTTCATGCCGGCTCGTTGGCCGGTTGCGGAGATAGGTCTTGATGCGGCATTGATACGAGGTTCAGATAGCAATTCTGGCCGCCTCCCATAGTTGACTACACGATAACAGTGCTCCTATTCTACCGTGTTATCCTGCTCCCAAAGAAAGGTACTTGTTTCTGTGTGTTTGGCTCGGCTACCTACTTGGCCCAGCTTCTCTGTCTAGAACATTTAACGGATTTTGGAAACCGCGCCTTGCGGTGCAAAGACCGTAGTGAGGTGGCACTCTCTCCCTGTTAGACTGGCAAATGGAGAGCCGACGAAACGTGTTGGCGCTTGTAGGAGATCTCGAGCGGTGCGTGTCGACCTCTTATGCAGACCATGGTTTATAAAACATGTAAAAAAAATAATAATGGTTTCCGTTGACATAATAAGTGTACAAACTATACTCCGTTACACATTAACTTGGCAAACTTAGGAGGCTGGGGCCCCGCGACCCAGGAAGAGCGTCGGAGCGAGGCACGTGACCCGACGTTGCGGCATCATTTGCGTCGCCCTGCCAATAGTGAGGCGCGAGGCACTGAGGAACCGGCTGTCGTCTGCCAGCCAAGGGTCGTCTGCTCTGAAACCATCCAACTTCGGATGAACGTCCACCGCAGCATCATTTCCGTCTGCTAGAATAGTGAGCACTCTCGGGAACAGCTGAGAAAGCCATGCGCTCGATTTAGCCGCGAATCTGTGACGGGTGCTAATGCCAGGCACAGTGCGATGTTTAGAGCAGAAACGGCAGATTACACGGCTGCGATCGCCAACGGCCAGGGCGGAACAAGGAGAAAAGAAATCGGAAACGGACGTGACGTCACTTTGTTGGTTTAAGTACAATTGAAACTCATAAATTTGTGATTATTTTTTCTTTACTACTCTTCATACCTTCTCTTTAGATATGGAAGCGTGCAAGTTCAATTTCCGTCAAAAGAAAAAGAAGCCTAGAATTGCTTTTTGTCGCAGACGGCACTGTTGCTGTGGCGGTAACAAGGCCCCTTTGGCGTGTTATCATGTCCTTTGCTCTGGCGCTTTTATTGGGTCGCGAGGGCCGCAGCCTCCGCAGTTCAGCAAGTGAAACGGAGTATAACTGATGCCACTATGCACTCTTTCTTTCGTCGTCGTCACTTTGCAGTGCATAAGTCTGTTGCGTGGCCACCTGTTGGCCGGAAAATTGTACTTTGAGCGGTTGTTGTTTTGCCGGGAATTATTTTCGTTCCTTCCGCGCGATACCACCCGCTTTGCTTTTGGCCATCTGAGATCTGCTGCATGTTTTTGTTACTGCTCATTTTTTTCTGATTTCACTCTTGTGTCTTGATTGTTTTTGGAGCGGTCACCGCCTTTTTTTTGAAGCGTCGTAATGGAGATCTGGAAAGGCATATCCAATGCATATTGTGCTGTAAATATTGTTTTGTACATATATGTGGCTGCATTTGTTTTCAAGACCTGGTGAACCAATTTTTTTTTACTCCTCTAGTAGGCCGGGAGTGTGTGCGTGTGTGTATGTGCATGTGTTTCCCGCAGTTTTGTATTTCCCTTCGTAGCTCTTTAGCTCCCGAGAGTTTCAGACTTAGTAGAGCAATAACTGTGCAAGGCGGCGATTGTCTTTTTTGCGTGTCGGCTTTTAGTGCAGCCTGTCGAAAGTGACCGACGTGTAATGGCGCGATCTGTACATACGGAAACTGGTCACAGCCTTGGAGTCGTTGCCGAGACGCACGGGAGTTTGCGGTCTGCGGGCGTCGGAAAGCTAACGTGCCACGAGGGAGTTTTCGGAATCCTGTCTCTTTTGTATCCAAAGAAGCCGGCCAAAGCGTCGAAAGGTTTACATTCACTCGTGGAGCATGCTTTTTTAACGTCTTTTCGTAGCTTGCACAGTCTGCGTGTGATGCGAGGAAACGTTGTCGGGGGCCGAATGTCTCATTTTGAGCTCGAGGTGTTTTAGAGTTTGTGCTGCTTACAGCCGACCAGTATTGAACCCCCGTAGCGACCGAGGAAGGACCGATCTCAGTCCTTCTAGAAAAAGTTCACATTGCACGATTGCCAACGTAGCACACCATCTGTCGAAGGCTATTTTATTGGTCCCCAACCTTTCTTTCATTTGTGATTCAAGGATGTTTGCCTCAAATTGAGTACTAATAATTATTTAAAAACTGAGCGGAGCAGGAGTAGTACTACAAACTCTCATTGGCCTCATTGTACTACCTTGAGTTTCTTTGGAGTACAAGAACTGCACTTGGAATGTCTGTCGCAATGCAAGTCTGAAAGCTCGATGTTGTTTTTTTACGTGTACGTGAAGGTGTTTCCTTTTTTTTTTTTTCTTTTTTTCAGTGTGTTTAGTGGAAATCTTTTTGCTTCGTTTACAGAGCCTGCTGATTGTTCTTGGATGTAGTCATGCAGGCAACTAGTGAAAGAATAGATCTTTTTTTATCTTCGCATAAACGGTGTCATTTGCTGGTCATGATAAAAATTTACCCTGACCCTCGCTCCAATTGCCCGTGTAAAGAAAGTCATACACCGCTTAATGAGCCAGGGTAATAACGCGCCTCGCTGTTGACAGTACCTTTTCTCGCAACCATATCAGAACAAAGGCTGTGTACTGTCTAACATCGAAGCGAGGTGAAATAACCTGCGCAAGATGCGTACAGGCAAACTCTCGAAGTGTGTGTCTTTGTCCTTTTGCATCTGCTGTCTGAGAACACCAGCTTGCAAGCTCCGTGCACATTTGTCGTATAACCCGTAACGCTTTCTGACGGCAACGCATACCATACCTCTGCCCGGTCGAACGTTGCGTCCCGACCTGCGGCTATGATTGAAACAAATGCTCGCCCTCGATCGCTCTAGCTTTTAACGGCATTTCCAAATGACCACCTTCCTTTTATCCTCTGTAACCTCTTTCTCTCTCCAAACAAATAATAAATCTAAATTTGACATTTTCGGACGCCCCTGCTTTCGCTCTCTTCTTTTCCGACAGTGCCATTCTTCGTGTTGACCCTGAGTGCATCAATAACTACGGGCTGGAAAATATTTGTACGTATAAACCAATGAATGGATTGCATTGAAACTTTTCACGGAGACCTCTTTAGGTGGTGCATTTATCGTACACATTTTATGAGCGAGTTTCAGGAAAACATTTAAGCCTAAAAAATCCTGTTTTTTTTTTCAATGCACAGAAAGAAAAAGGGCAAAAACCGTCCCGTTGGTGCTGCCACTCGATGGTACCACACACGCTCGGATCTGCTGGGTGTGCTTTTGGGCTTTTGCTTTATGTAGTGCCATTTGTGAATAGCAACATCAACCAGATGGTGCTTACCATTTTCCTCCCTATGTATGGAACAAAAAACTGGTCTATGGGAAAAAAAAGGCTCAATTTTTTCCCCCTTGACCTACACTCATCAAAATTTTAGTAAGATAAATGTTCCACATAAAGACGCCTTTGTGAGAAGTTCCATTGCAATCTATTTGTTATTTATTAAAAAAAAAACATTACGTTTGCATAGCACTGGGAAGGATTCCACAGAACTTGGAGCATAATGGATGCCTGTGAGAAACATCTGGAGTGCAAGATCGTCTCCTTCTTGTGCAGGGTTTGTGGTGACATCGGAACACCGAGTTCTGATGGGTTCTGGATAGTGGGTAGACCTCAATACTAGCTGCCTTGAAGTCTACTTTCCAATTGGAGCTCGTCGTTCTCATGTCACTGCAATCCCTGCGCAAGCAGCAGACAAACTTGCGCTCTGCATTGGAATGCTGTCGAGTTTTGTCTTACTGCCTTGTTTAGATGGCGTCAGTTTTGCGTGCTGGGACACTAATTTGCCACAAAATTGCAGCAAGGTGATGCATTCGCTTTGTGAAAACGTGCTAAAAAGGTAAACTGAACTCAAGTGGTGATGCAGGTGAGTTGGTTCATGCCACTCCTGACTTTCATCTATTTTTTCCAGCGGGCGTTGCAAAAAGGGGCGTCTTAGGATTTCTTTTGGGTAGTGCAAACTTGAGTGTCTCAAATTGCAACACATGTAGAAGTGTGCCTGCTCTGGTGCACAATGGGAGCATGTCATTTGCAAGTTAAAATGATGTGCTATGTCACTGCCGCAACTCGAAATTAGCATTGGCTTTAAATCGGAGATGGCTGTCGTCTACCCAGTCAAGTGAATTCAAACCTAACAGTACACAGAGGGCTGGTCGAAAAATTGAGTTCGCCGGAGGCAGTGGCCGGGATGATCTAATCGGTTAAGGCGTCACTTCGGATAAGCGAAGGTTGCGGGTTTGATCCCCGCTCCTGCCCAATTTTTTGCCTGCTCTCTTTCTTTTCCCTTAACTTTATTGCAATGAATTTAATAATCACTCTTTCACCTTTGATCACAATGTTACAACAGCTGCGCTTGTCAATCTCCCCTCTGAATATATATACGGCGCAGCCTGCCCCCATGGGGAGGAGTGGTTCCCAAAATACCGTGGAAGGTGGACCCTTTCCGACATTTGCAAGCTAAATGACATGCTACTGTTATGTTGCTAGTTAAGCTGAGGAGGATGGTTTAAGCAAATTGTTTAATAAGTACATACGGGATCAAAGCGGCAGCTATGGCGAATGCTTGTCAGTTCCAAACGCAACAGCGCGTGCCACCTCCTGCGAGCGTGCTCACTGGATGTCCTCTTCTTCTAAGATCAGAAAGCCTCATGACATCATAACATGCCCCCTTCTTTTTTCTTTTTTTTTTTTTTTTTGAAGATAACGCAATGCGATCGCGGCACTTGTCAGTCTCTGTATCGTAGCGGCTTCACCACGACGCGTCGACTTCTTGTTTTTTGGTTATCCTGTTGACCTTGTAGACGTGGAAATGTCTTCAAGTGATTCGTCATTTGATACTCTATGGACATTGTCTTCAGCAGCTTCGTTTGAGGCTGTAGTGGAATAGTTTTCAGCAGCTGTATTCGTTTCTGCTGTTCCATGTGCTTCTTTGGTGTGGTACCGGTTGTGCCTGTAAGTCCTCGATGTGTTTCTGCTGCTGCTTGTCCTGGTTCCACTTGTTCTCCTTGGCACGAGACTGCTCCAAAAGGAACTCATGCTGTCGGGAGAGTTCCTCTATCTCGACTCGGCTTGCTGGTGCCTCCAAAGTTCTCGCTGTACCCCCAGTGCCCTCGGCGACATGTTCCATCGAGGTTTCCACTTTTTGGTTTGGCGCCTGTACCAACCGTTCTTCAGCCATGAGATGCTTGTCCTTGAGGAGGCGGAAGCGCTCTTGCAAGTGCTGGTTTGCTTGCCAGAGCTCTTGCAGCTCCTGCATGGTCTTTTGTCCCACTGCGCCCTGCTGCCCCTCGAAGACTGCGAGAGCTCGTCTGGCTGTTGCCCACTCTTCTGTGAGCTGAGCGCATCTGCCCTCCAAACTGCGTTTCTCTTGGGCTGCCGCGTGAAACTCTTCCTGCAGGTTCCTGTGTCTGTATACAATGTGGTTATACTTGTCCAACAGCTGGGAGTGGTCTGTCTTCAGCACTGATAGTGCTGCCTCACACTTGGCCGCTTCGTCCAGCGCAGTACAGTGCTCGTTCTCCATCTCCTTGGTGGCCTTGACGTACTGCTCGCGCTGAGTCTTTAACTCCTCCTCGAGGCAATGTCGTGCCTGTTTTAAGTTCTCAGCTAGCTGTTGAAAATGTTTGTTGTCGCTGACGAGCATCTCAGCTTGCTCCTCCAGGCAGGAAAGTTCTGACCACAAAACGTCGGCTTCGCTTTCTAGCTTTCCGTTGCATTTTAGGAGGCTGCTGACTTTCTCGTCTAACCTCTCGCGCTCTGTTTCTGCCTTCTCGGTGAAGGAGCTTCCATCTGCTTCCGTTTGCGACGAATTGTTACACTTAACAGCATTTTCTCTCTCTCTCAAAGTCTCCGCCACCTTTTCGTGTCTCTGCTGCCAGAGGCGACTTTCATTTGACACGCATCTAATTTTTTCACTCGCATTTTCACAAGATGATTTCCACTGCTAACTTTCTTGAGCGAGGAGCTCGTTCCTAACTGTCAAGGATGTGACCCGTTCCTGAAGCACTGCCAGCATACGGTTCAAGTCTTCCAGCTGACTTGCTTCAAGAGACACTGCAGCTTCTGACGACTGGTTGGTGTGCTCGATGATGCTCCGGACAAATGCTTTGATGATGCTCCGGACAAATGCCCTGAGATCTTGTAACGGCCACTGGTACCGGTCCTTTAAGTACTGATAGTTTTGCTGAAGTAGATTGAACTGCTCCTCTTTCTTAGCAAGCTGGTTTTCCAGGGCCTCTCTTTTGCGTTTTGCGATGTCCAGCAGCTTCTTGAGGTACTGAAAGGCACTGAACTCTCGTTGTTCGGAATCATTCTGAACTAGCGGCAAGTCTTCGCCACAGTCTTGAAGAAGGACATCCTGCAAGATGCAGTACTCGGCAGAAAACCTTTCGAGCTCAAGCTGAGATGCTTCAAACTTCTCCTTCAGGGTGTCCGCTTCCTCCACCTTGGCATCTACAAGCTCCAGCTGCTTTGCCAAATCCCGACTTAGAGAAACTAACTGGGCTTTCAATGCTTCAGACTCCTGATACTTGGCATGAGAAAATTCTGCTTGCTGCGCTTGCATCTTCCCTAGGAGAGCCGAAGCTGCCTTGCACTCGCGTTGAAGGGCCTGCTCTCGTCCAAAGCTCGCTTCGATATTTCTCTCGTGCTCCAAAGATATTCGCTGCATTTCTGCCTTTGCCAACACCAACTCTGAAATCAGGCCTTGTCCCTCTTCAGGGCGAGATGCCAGCATGCCCTTTTTTTTTTTCTTTGACCGCCTCTCCAGCTCTGTCCCAGTTAGCGCAAACTTGGTTACTTTGGTTGATGGAAGAGGCCCAATTGTTATGCCTCCCAAATGGATTGTTTCATTGCGGTTATTGTTCATGGATGAGTTGGAAGTTTCTTCTACTGCAGAAACACGTCGATATCCGTAGGTTTTCTGCTGTCTGGTTGCACATTCGGAAAAAATGTCCAAAATTTCCACATGAAAGGCAGTGCTTTCCGTAAGCTGGGCAGTTTCGGGGTTGATGGTAAGTACCACATCTCGAACATGAAATTTGCTGTCAATTGCTGGATTGGTCTTTTTGTGGTCCGGATGGTCGGTAACTTCGTTGCGCTGCTCTGAAGCTAGATGGCTGACGATAGAGTCCATCAACTCTAACTTCGTCTTCAGTTTTCTGAATATCATTCACGTGTTTTTTTGAGATTTCAGCTGCTTTACAAGTTGAAATGATTTTGTCTAGGGTTAGACTCGGTTCACGAAGCAACCGTTCGCGCAAAGCCACGTCTCGTATCCCAATGATGATACGATCACAGATGAGCCTGTTTTCTTGAGCTCCGTAGTCGCATTTCTGAGCCTGCAGTTTTAGCTCAGTTACAAATTCGTCAATGGTTCTGGCTTTTGGCACATTGTGTTAAAAATGGCTGTCGCTTGTGTCACGCTTTTGTAAGGTGCATACATTTTATCAAATTCGTGCAGTATGTAATCTACTGCATTCTCTCTTTGCCCGCTTTGACCATCTCCCGTTGGTTGCAGAGAAAATGTTTGCGAAATTTGTCTTGCCTGAGGTCCAAGGCAGTGGAGCAGAAAAGCTTTCCGAGTTGCGATAGGCTTGGATGCATATTCACAGGCTTCCTCGAAGATAAGGTACGACGATTTCCACTCCTCCCATGCTCTTGCTGGGTCGTCACCAGGCTGGAACGGAGCCGGCGGTTGTAGGAAAGCAGATGCCATATTGTTGCTGCTGTTGCTTGTTAAATGAAAAATATGGACGTTGAGCTGCTCACCACTTCTGACACCATGTTATGTTGCTAGTTAAGCTGAGGAGGATGGTTTAAGCAAATTGTTTAATAAGTACATACGGGATCAAAGCGGCAGCTATGGCGAATGCTTGTCAGTTCCAAACGCAACAGCGCGTGCCACCTCCTGCGAGCGTGCTCACTGGATGTCCTCTTCTTCTAAGATCAGAAAGCCTCATGACATCATAACAGCTACGTCACTGCCGCAGCTCGGAACTAGCATGGGCCTTAAATCAGCAATGGCTGTCGTCTACCCAGTCCTGGCCGAAAAATTAAGTTCGCCGAAGCCAGTGGTCGGGACGGTCTAATCGGTTAGGGCGTCGCTTCAGATAGGCGAAGGTTGTGGGTTCGATCTCCGCTCCTGGCCGCCTTTTTCGCCTGCTCTCTTTCTTTTTCTCTTCCTCTAACCTTAATGGAATAAATTTAATAATCACTCTCCCCTCTTTGTTTACAATATTACTACAGCTGCACTTGTCAACCTTCGCTCACTCTTAATATATGTATGTATCTAATTGAAAATACCACAAGCCTACGGAGCCCTGGACTAAGGGCTCTGACCGGGACTTGTTGGTTTTCTAACCTTTTGTAAATAAAGTTATACCATCTATCCATCGCCACGAGAAGCAGCGGCCGCAGAAATGGAAAAGATGGAGCGGCCGACAACAGAATAGGGGAGAGCCATGTGGCTAGCGCCCCGCTACGGCGAGACGTCGAAACGCAGCGTCTCGCCGCTGCCGCGAGACATGAGGACCCGAAAGTGTGTTTCGGGTCCTCGCCGCTGCAAAAGCTGTGTGCTGACGTCTAGGTTCCTCGAGAAATGGCTCTTTGAATTTGATGCTGTGTACTACCAGATCCTCGCGCTCCAAATCTGCGACCGGGCACTCTATGGCTCCGTCGCCGAACTGCCAGGCTTTGTGAGTATAAAGGAGGCTATGGTATAACCAATCAACTGCGGGCTGGAACCCGCGACGTGCCGTCACAAGGGTGCTGCACCACCGTCCCTTGACTAAAAGCTGCTTACCACTTGCTAAAATGTAGCTGGTCAGTCGCATCTTTAAGATCGGCTTTAGTGGAACACACGGCTTCACTTTGACGTAATATTTCGTGTCACTAAAGCGATACCACTCGTTTATGTTGGTTTCGTATTCAACCGGAGTTGCCCTTTAAAGGGGCCCCGCAATCATATTAAAGCGTCTACCTTTTCTGCAATTTCCAAGTTTCTTGGGCTTTGGGCAAGCCAGCGGGCACGGAGAGAGTAACTAAATATCAGTGCGTCATATTTTAACCGGACGACGTGGAAACCTCCTCCACGTACGGAGGCAATCCACGTGCACGGTACCGAAAGCCCACGAAATGTGAGGTATTTGGTCCTGGGCTTACTACTGGTCAGAGCCGCTAAAAGCTTTTTTTTTAGTCGAAATACAAGTGTCGCAAACCGTTTCAATTATATATGAAAGTAGTTTTTGTTCAGTATTTTAGATCAGAAAAGAAACAAATGCAGTTTAGAAAGTCCAGAAAACAAAAATGACTTGTTGACATACCCACCACTAAGCGGTTAAAAGGCGGCGCATACTAGAAAAGAATAGTAGGATCAGGCTCCAACAAACGGCGAGCGTAGAAAGATCCCGGATGTACGCGGCGGCACTGCGGTCGTTTATGGACTCGAGGATCCGACCGGTTCTGAGCGTTCCGAAGGCCTTCGGCGCAGGTTTGGCTTGCTGTTTAGCCATTTCGCGGCATGGCAGCGCGAAGTGGCTTCCATTCTGAACTGATCTTTACCCAGTGTTTGCCGTTGTTTGTGGCCAATGAATTGTCACGCCGAATTAGTGTTTAATCGCGCAACAAATGCAACGCAAGCCGCCCTGGCTGCCCGCTTTATACAGCCCATCCAGAACATGCTTTAGTGCCGTCGACACGGAGTGTGGCAGCTGTGAGCGCTTGCTGAGCTCACTACCCCTCCTCTAGTTCACGGCCACTCAAGCAACCAAGGACGTCGTGAACAAGGAGGTTAGACGTACTAGGAGGGGGCACGTTGCAATATTGGGGAAGCCTAGTCGTAAAAAGTTTAAACGATGTTGTGGCCAACGTGACCGTAGATCTCTCTGGCACTTGGTGCGCGTGACATGTCATGTGTGAGATGGATGGTTGATTGTAGAAGGACTCCTTGCAGGCTTGCGTGCGCTCCGTCTGGTAGGTTTTATCAGATCGAAGGCTAGACTGTGGTGTATTCTAGTACTCCATAGCTAGACAAAGGCTAGCTACGGTCACGTGATGTGGTCACGTTGCCATGATAAGTGAGGAGAGTAAGGAGGAAAATGAGAAAGAGGCGAGGCGTCAAGGGAGCATGGCTTGTGGAGGCTACGCGGCTGACGTCATGCCCTCTCCTACCCTCTATCCTCCTTGGTCATGAAGGAGGTTATTAGAGCGCAGCTCTTAGGGGCCCGTTCCCGGCTTGAGCGGCGTCGCCGTCGGCGTCGGCGTCGCCGTCGGCGTAACCGCAACCCTCGTAACCCTCGTGAGGGTTACGAGGGTTAATCTCATGAGGGTTACCCTCACGAGGATCACGAGGGCCACGAGGGTTACTTACCCTCGTAACCCTCACGAGGGTTACTAGGGTTAGTTACCCTCAAAAGGGTTACCTTCACGAGGGTTACCCTCACGAGGGTTACTTACCCTTGTAACCCTCACGAGGGTCACGATGGTTACCCAGGTCGTGACCCCCCCTGGGGTCACGTGACCTGGGGATACCCCCCGAGGTCACGTGACCCCCCGTTGACGTCATACGCACTGATGACGTCGTCAGTGACGTCACTGATGACGTTTCCGGCATCCGCATCGTCATCGTCATCATCACTGATGACGTCATTAGTGACGTCACTGATGACGTCACCGGCATCCGCATCGTCATCATCATCACTGATGGCGTCATCAGTGACGCTACTGATGACGTCATCGGTATCGTCACGTGGCCCCAGGTCACGTGACCCCCCGACGTCACGTGACGCCCCAAGGTCACGTGACTCCCACAAGGTCACGTGACCCACAAGGTCACGTGACCCCCAAGGTCACGTGACCCCCCGCCCCCCGAGGTCACTTGACCCACCCCCCAGTACCCTTCCCTCCTCCTCCTCAAGAGCTGCGCTCTAATTCGGCGTTACAGGGAGTTGTAAACGGCTTTCATTTTTTTTTTTGCTTGTTTTTGTAATTGTAATTCCCCTATAACTTTTAAAAGAAAGCAAAATTCGAAGGAAAAGAAGTTTCACTAAGTTACTACGTTTAGTGCGCTCAGGTTCGGTGCAAATTAGAAACCAGTAAAAGTCACTGCAGGGCCCCTTAAATAAAGTACAAGTACCTACGCAGTGAATGCACTTCAAGTAAAATACAACTATTCTAAACCTCTCTAAAGTAGTACTATAAGTAGAACATACTTAAAGTACTTTTCAACACTGCCTTTGCGCTCATATCTCTCACAGACGGGCATGTTCGCTCATAAGCCGCTAACGCAATAAAACCGGGCCACTCAATGATGATGATAGTTATAGCCACTGCGTTGGCTATGCCGGCCACGATGCCGGCTACGTTTTGTGACTTGCGTCTTGAGTCGTTGCCAACGCTACAATAGCAAGCGTCAGCAGCGGAGAGTACTGTGGCACCAAGTAAGGCGTGTTCTTTATCATTAATGGACTATATCTAAGCGCTTCGTAACTATAATAATGCCTGGCAGACCGATAAATTCAGAACAGGACACTCGTGTTTAGACAGACGCCGTATGTACATACATGGTAGAAAAATGTTTCGAGACTCCAACCCCGGCAACTCCGGCGTTAGTTCGTCGATTGGTTTAGCTGCAAATGCCATAGTCATTCGAGAAATTAATTCATAGGACTATAAACCTGATGGTTCTGCTTCTGGAGTATTGCATCGTTCGTGATCATTTTCAGAACCTCTCACAATGACGAAACTGATGCAATGGTTGCTCGGACTGAGCCTATTTGTGACGATTTGGGCCACTCTGTTATCGGAACGACTGCTGCAGTCCACTTCCAGTTACAGGCTTCACATCTGGCTGGTGAGCAACATTACTGTTCAGGGCTGTCAATCGCGTCTGTAGGGTTGTCCGTCCGACTTATTTTTTGGTTCTGTTTCCAGCTACCACTTTACGCCTGCTTGATCTTTGGGGTGAGTTGATTCATTTTGTCTATCACTACAGATGGTGAAAAGCGGGAGAGAAGGTTATGGTCGAATAATTAATTGAAGGAGTGCGACAGGAGCCATTGTAACCGCTTGTCGCCACTTGCGACGAGAGAAGACACCGGCGCCATCTCTCGATTACTCTGCATATAACTATGCTTGGTTTCAGCTTGAGTCCAGACGTGGCCGACGCTAGGAGCTAATAGAACCAATCGAGCAACGTCAAGAGCGCAGTTCACTGGGCCTTTCGTTTATGGTTGGTTCAGCGATCGTCGAACACGTACAGAAACATCACCATAAAGGTTCGCTTTGAAGCTCTCTGATTGGTTCCATCAGCTCATACATAGGTAAAACTAAGTATAGACCTTTGCAAAACGAGCTCTCTGGCCGCCGCCATTTTGCAACTCGAGCGACCCCTATCGGCCAAAAAATTCTGACACCCGCCCGAGCTGTGGAAATCCGGTCAGTGCAACTCTCCACCTGCAATGTGCATTCGGAGTTGGCTGGCTTTTCCTGGAAGCTTTACTTTATTAGCCTGTTCGGGGTGCTTACCCTCTTTCTGTTATCTTTCACTGTGAGAACCAGGGAACACCGGCTCGGCTTTCGCAGGAAACGAATGAAGACCGTGAAAGACAAGCAGCCCGCAACACGGGCCATTCGACTTTCTTCGAGGATTATTTCTGCTGAGATAATACGTTCCCGGTTTTCGCCAAAGGTAGCTGTTATGGTCGGGTCGGGGTACGAGGACGGAATAAACACGTTCGTTCATTTGCTTTGGTGCCGTGTGAAAAAGCCGAATTACGTCCGATCGTTGTGAAGTGACTATCATGGACACTGTATATTGCCTATGCCGCGCTATCTTAGATCTCTCTCATATCTTGTTTGGATAATGCGGCACCGTGGGGTACGTACAAGGTATGTTGTTCGATTGATGCGACTCATTGAATTTTAGGTTGTGAGGATAGCCGGAATGCAACTCATGCATTCCGGCTATCCTGTGTGGTCAGATATTTTCTACAGTTAAGACGTGTGCAGACTGACACAAATGAGTGTATGGTGCCATAAGAAAAGCCAACATAAAACGAAACCAACATTCCATTTGCATTTGTTCCGTCACGCACAGAGTTGCCAAAAATAGCTTTTATTTGTTTGTTTTGGTTCCCAAAAATAGTTGAATTCTTTCAAAACCTTAAGAAACTCTATTTGCCATAGTACAAAAAAGAAAATAAAGAAGGCAATTAAAGCCATTAGCATCCACAATGGCACCTATGCAGGCTGCCAACACCCATCGACGAGAAAATCCACAGCCCGGTGCAGTCACTGACATACACTGACATATACTTTCAAACCTAGGAATGCCCTCTTTAAATAGCTTTGTTTGAGACTGCCGCTGGAAAGGTTTATAGACCAAAGGTTTTGCATCATATGGGATATTAAACCTACGCACCATCTGTGAAAAATGCGAGCTTATAACTAGGCTTTGCACTTTCCGGTTTTAACAGAGAAACATCTGCTGGTGATGAAAATACAAAATCGGTTACAACCTAAAGACACCGGTGGTTCAATATTTTCGCCTCGATTGAAACCGCAAATCACCGTTCATTAATATTTTCATCCTTGCGAGGGCTGTCGTCTTCAAACTCCTCCCCATGGACATTCATCAAACGTCTTATCTCGTGGATAACACGTTCGTGTTATCCTGTGTGATAAATCATAGCACGATACATCACCAAGCTGATTAATGCGGTCACTTCTAATGATTCGAGGGCACGTCGTGAAAAGTACCGGTCTAAACTCCAATTTATTTTTATTTGCAGGTTTATGCAGCATCTGTCGTCTTGTACCGAGTGTTCACCTTCAACAACTGCGAGGCGGCGGCTGTAGAACTAAGAAAGGTACCGATCCGAGGGGACGCAAATAATGCCCCTTTATCAGTTAATAGCTCATCCGCAATATTCAAATGCTCCATCAAGGCTCGTAGCGTTGTGCAAGGTTACTCCTATGTTGCAAGGACAGTGGACTGAGAATTTGGATTGAAGTTGGCAGTCTGAGTGGCAAGTACAGCGCATAGACGATTTGAAACCCATGTGCCATTTTTCCGCGTAAAATGTCTCAAAAGCCGCAGATAAAAGTGTGGGCAGCACCAGGTGACAAATCTAACGCATAACTCAAGAATAAAAACGAAATAACAGGAGGATGGGGAACGAGGGATGGCAGAGAAGACAAGGGTAACGATGTCGCGTGCTATTTCACAATATCTCACCTTTGCCGACTGCTTCCTTTCTTGCGAAAATAATCGTCCTTCAAAAGTTTACACTTTCCATTGAAACTTTTGGCTCTTTTGAACTCCAACAAGTTCATGCAGCTTTTTTCTTTTTTTACATAAAAACTCTGAATTTGGGCTCCAAGTCTTATTCATACCCGAGCAAGTGCTTGCTGGCCGTGGAGCTACCCTGTGCGTCAAAGGAATCGATGGCCATTTGGATATACGGCATAAATCGGGTTCTTAATGTATCGCACTAGGATTTAGTACAGAGGTGCCTGAAGTTAGTGGAAGCATTCGGTAAAATTGTGGGAAGACTGGCTCATTTGAGTAAAGGAAGAAAAATCAACAGCTGTTTTCTCTATACTTTACATGTACACTAAAGAAATATTATGTGTTACTGTGGCACTTAATCGGGCTAAATGAAGTGAAGAATAAGTTAGCCAATTCTATTTTATTTCCATTTCACAAATTTTTCAATCGTAGTAAACGCCAGAATAGCCCACAATTTTCTGATGATTTTGAGATAAAAAGCTAAGTGATCATTTTTCCATAGACAAAAGCAGTTTTTATGTTCTTTCTTTTGAATCCAGAGGTTTCATGTATTCATTCTCTCAATTAATGAATGCACCAGCTTAGAGCACCTCTGTAGTAAATCCCAGCGCAATAAGTAAAGAAACCAATTTATGCAGTCCCTTCAAACTGCCATCGATCCATTTGACTCGGGAGTTATTGCAACAAACGCTAGACGTTTAGATGGCACTAGTGTGCTGTTGAGTTTTGATGAAGACAGCAAACAGTCTAAATTTGACATCCGGTAATGCATTCCTATGGGAATATACAAATGCGTTTTCTCTTTGCGCTCGATTATAAGAGCAAATTTTGCTTAGCGTTGTGACAGAATAAAAAGTTTGGAACGTTTTACAATCGGATGTACAAAAATGTGTCTGAGCGTTTTTTCTTTAGAATTCATGGCGTTGAACACTGCGCTAAAATAGCCCAATACACATGTATAATGCGTGTTGACGTTGCAAACTGCTATTACAGGGCACATATTTATGCAAATAGTCAATGCTATGAAGCACAGAGAGTGAATCAGCTTGACAAAACACCAAAAGGATGTTAATATATGCAATCATATCGAATCAAACAATCAAAACAGACAACAAGAACGAAGCATGGAGAAGAACACACTGGATTAGTTACAAACTGTGCATTAGTAACAAAACTGTGGCTCCGTCATCTGAATGCTATTACAGCTTGAATAAACCCTATGCACATTTTAATTGTTCTTTTAGAGTGCTGCTCTTTGGCACCCGTTTGTGGGTTGAGCGGCGTCGGCATAACCACGCGTTGCATTACGGGACATGTGATGTCACACGTGACGTCACGAGGGTTGTCCTTATAAGGGTTACCCCCGTGGAGGTTACCCTCACAAGGGTAACCCTCATGAGGGTTACTCTCACGAGGGTAACCCTTACAAGGGTAACCTTCACGGGGGTTACCCTTACAAGGGTAACCCTCGTGACGCCATGTGTGACGTCATTATGGAAAACACGTAACGCCACACGCATCTAACATTGCCAATATTCCCGCTAAATTTAGCGGGGAAGGAGGAGGCAGATACCCTTCCCCTTTATACCCTCCCCTCTTCCTCTTCAAGAGCTGCGCTCTAATTCGGTGTTACAGAGAATTGTAAACGTCTTTCATGTTTTCTTGCTTGTATTGACATGGTGCTGTACAACAAGACCTGGGCCTTGATTTTGGCTAACTTAAACATCGCTCAGTAATAAAAAAAAAGCATTAACTAAATAAATTACACTTTTGTAATGTGAATAAAGCTACATAGTACCTATTACGAGTAAAGAAACTACGCTGATTTCTATTATTCCCTTGCGAAGGGAAAAATATTGTGCATGTTTTCCCATAGGAATACACAGGAAGACTGGAAAAGTAGACTCTTTGCTGTCTGCTTCAATATGCAAAGAGAAGTCCCGTAGACGCTAGCGCCAGCTGAGCCTTTAGCGTTCATTGTAATAACTATGATTTGACCCACGCGGTATGCTCTGTTTTGTTTCAACTTGGAGCGTTGTGAAGGCTATGGGCCTGGGCTGAAAGCCTTGGAAGGCACTTATCCCATGCAGTAGCTTATGTTATATAGCTAACAGAATAGCAAGTTGGCCTGGTTAATTCATTACATACTAAAAATGCAAAAAAAAGAAAACGGGGACAAAGTAAGGATTGACATTGGAAGGCACCTTGTGTTGTCATCGATCTTCACTCTGTCCATTTTGTTTGGCGCTTTTCGTACGTAAGTAGCTTCTGAAGTTGGGAGCTTGCTTCCCTAGCTTTCCTTGTTTTTTCATATTAATTGTGTGGATTTCCAAGTAACACATATGGCCCATTGAAAACGGCGCATAAAAGCATGTGCCCACACCATTGACTATAGCAGTGATGTAATTGGTCCGAGGTTTCTTCGAGCACAAGCGTATACAGCTTTACTTCATTCTCATTCACTGCGCAAAGAATAGTGTGCAAAGGCTTTTGTGCTGAGCTGCCCTATTAAGGATGTCAGGTTTCTTTTCTGCTAACAACGTGCAACTGTGTTTACTGCTTATAATAAACATCTGTTATAAAAGCTTGCGACATCTCGTATGGTAACAGCTGCTGTAACAATGATCTTACATGAAAAATTGGTACCGCCATGTACAAATAGTAGTCCTACCAATAGAAACCTTAGTGAAAATACAAATGCCATTAGAATAACAAAGAAGAGTGTCCGAAACTAGAGCAGTCTTCTAATTAATTGCCTCGTTTCTACTTGCAGCAAATTGTGGAGGCGAAAGAAGACCTCCAGAAAAGGGGTTACAAGTTTGACTGACTACTGCTGTGGCCCTGACGGCTGGTTTTCTTTAATAAATTATTTTTACACTTCCTTAAATTGCCTCGTTGTGAGGTGTATGAGGGACATGAGTGCGTGAGGGGCGGTGAGTGGCGTGAGGGCCATGAGTGCGTGAGGGGTGTGAGGGCGGTGAGTGCGTGAGGGGTGTGGGGGTCATGAGTGCGTGAGGGCAGTGATTGGCACGAGAGGTGTGAGGGTGGTGAGTGCATGAGGGGTGTGAGGGCCATGAGTGCGTGAGGGCGGTGAGTGCTTGAGGCCCCCTTCAAACGGAGCATCTTTCTCTGCAATTTTGGTGTTGATGGTGGGTTGTTCTCTAGCTTTCCCTAGATCTACACGAATTGCTGAGATTGGGTCCGGTTCGAAATAAGCAAGCAACTCGGAGCAATTCGAATGCGTTTGAAGCGGCTGCATCCAATCAGGGACGCAGAATTTTCACGTGATACCTCGTGCCGGTGATGACACCGAAAAACTTGGTTCTTGTTTGAAATCAATCGTTTTTGGAAATAAACTGTTTCAGAAAGGTGCATTAGTATTCTTAACGAGATTTAAATGCATAAAAACACGTTTATAACGCGTAATTGTGTCTAAATAGTGCAAGAAAAGTCAAATTTTATGATGACGATGGCAAATTGTAGCAATTGGTTGCTGCGTGTGTGATCGCGGGCGGCCCGTGTTGCTGGTGTTGTGACATCAAGTTTCTGGGTGAAATTGCCCCATCTGAAGCTGGCCCGAGTGGCGTGAGGGCCATGAGTGCGTGAGGGGTGTGAGGGCGGCGAGTGCGTGAGGGTGGTGAGTGGCGTGAGGGCGGTGAGGGGCCGAGGGCAGCAAGGGCGGTGAGTGGCGTGAGGGCGTTGAGTACGTGAGGGCGGTGAGGGGCATGAGTGTGAGGGCAGCAAGGGCGGTGAGGGGTGAGTGGCATGAGGGGCATGAGTGTGAGGGCAGTGAGTGGCGTGAGCGCGGTGAGTGGCGTGAGGGGAATGAGTGTGTGAGGGCAGCAAGGGCGGTGAGGGGCGTGATGGCGGTGAGTGGCGTGAGGGCGGTGAGTGGCGTGAGGGCGGTGAGTGGTGTGAGGGCGGTGAGTGGCGTGAGGGGCATGAGTGTGCGTGAGGGCAGCAAGGGCGGTGAGGGGCATGAGTGTGTGAGGGGTGTGAGGGCAGCAAGGGCGGTGAGTGGCGTGAGGGGCATGAGTGTGTGAGGGGTGTGAGGACAGCAAGGGCAGTGAGGGCGGTGAGGGTGGTGAGTGGCGTGAGGGCCATGAGTGCGTGAGGGGTGTGAGGGCAGCAAGGGCGGTGAGGGCCGTGAGGTTCAGTGAGGGTGAGTGAAGGGCTGAAGGTGTGACTGAGGATGAGGGTGAGTGAGGGGCTTAAGTGAGTGTAGCTGTGAGGGTGAGTGAGGGGCTTAGGTGAGTGTGGCTGTGAGAGAGGGTGAGTGAGGGTGACCTAAAATGCCGACCTCTGGTGCCAGGTCCTAACTCCGCAGAGAAAATGTTGATACTGCGGTAATGAACAAGGTGCACCAACGATGGAAAAACACATTCAAGAAATATGTGCAAGCAGTACTTAGAGTGTTGCAGTTGAACAGTGCATAGAGGCACCGCGAAAAGATACCATAATTTTGCATAAAAGTCAGGATGTCTCTTAAACATGTGTGTCGTGAGATGCTGTTTCCTATTTATTTATTCAAAGTACCCTTAAGTGCCCAAAGGCATTAAAAGGGGGGGAGTACATAATTAAAACCAATATACACAGAAGTAAAATGAAGTCTAAGCATGTAATAGAACACATTCTTGGAACAATAAAACAAAAAAGGATTGTTATGCTGTCTAGGAACCTAACGGGACGTCAACATGGTTTGTATAAATGTAGAATGTCAAAGGAGTTTGTAAGGCTAATGCAAGATCTTAAGTGTGCTCACTAAGATTATGGTGGTTGATGCAGTTTTATCTATACCACTTATGGAAGACAATAAATTATACTACTCGCATCAGAAGTGATCACAGACTTTACGCAACAGTAAAAATAATCTGAGTTTATTTGAGCTTTTTACAGCGGGCGAAGCACCGCAGGGCCTCCAAATATACGAACAAAGCGTTCAATATAACCCAGAAACCTAGCTGCACCCGCGGTCTTGTGGTCCTAGAGTACAGAAGATTGTGAATTGCCACGTCTGTCTCGACAAAGTTGCCCAAGCACCTTGCGAGGATGACGAGTAGCACCAGTCTTCGTCCCTCCCCTAAACAATCTCTAATAATCTCAATGAAGCAAACTAAAAGATAGGACAGCAGATGATGTCTAAAATGAAACAAACATGGAGGGAGTTGGCACCCTATGCGGAGCGCAAGTTCGTCTGCTTCTTTTGCGGGCGTTGCGATGACGTCGGAAGGCCAAGCTCCGATTGGTTCTGAATGAAGGATAGTGGGTAGACGTGAAGGAAGCTTGCTTTGTGATCTACCCACTACCCTTCAATCAGAGGTGGGCGTCATTCTGACGTCGTAAAACCCCTGCGCAAAAAGCAGACGACTTGCACTTCGCATTGTTATGCTCAGAAACTTGATGGTAACTTGTTCGTGCGGGGTGGTACCTTCTGCGATGCTGAGATCCCGGTTGTGAATGAATTCACACACCTGCGTTTGCTGGGGACCGAGTTCTTGGGGCCTCTTAGGACTAGAGAACACGCTGGTGCCATCTATGAGGTGACCCTGGAACTTCACTAGAGTGAGGGTTTGGAAGCGAGATGAAATATACATACTACCTATGAGAAATGCTTAATGTCAAAAGCTTTTTGAGCAAAAAATAAAAAGGAATGCCTGAAAAAAATGGGAAATTTAGGGAAACTTGAAGTGTCCCACCCATAGAAAGCACCAGGGTGTTCTCTCGTCATAAGCCAAGGGATTTTAAGGCACACGGTTGTAAGCAGTGACAAGTGAGTGAACCAGCCTTACGGCAAACATTATGCAACAACTGAGAATGGCACTGTGAGCACTCTAGCACAAACGGGAAAATAGCAAGCAGCACCTTGCAGGTGCACCCAACAGGTCGTTGATATTTGTTCAAACATGGTGTTTCGATTTGGACGACACTACACGAGCCAGATAAACACCACCTTACAGGAAACACAGCTCACCAGCGTAACAAAGGCAGGTTTCAGGCAACCTGAGCAACTTCGGCAACGCTGCTTTTTCGGACAAATTCTCTGGTTGCAAGTTGGAGATGTGCAAGCGTAAGAAAATTGCCAGTAAAGTGCATTCGGCAAGTCTCAAGGAATTTTTGTTGAGTGCTGCCCTAGCTGCTCATTTTGAATTGTTTTATATGGAGTTTGGGGAGAAATCCCGATATGTTTATGCATTTAGTTGCTAAGTTTCAGAAAGATACAGTTGCTGTTTCGTTTGGAAGAACAGTCGGAATACTGTTTGACACACGTTTAGTGAGTGACCTAATGAAGCACAGGTCGCTTGCTTGACATGCACAACTCGCAAGTACATAAGTGATGCGTCCCAACAAGAACAACAGAGGCCAACTACACAAGTGCCTACCTCACAAATCGCGCTCCACGGACTCCTCCTCATAACCCGTCCATATAGCAATGAAGCCACTCCAACATGTGCAATTAATTCACTGACTAGTTCTGCAATGCACCTTAACGTCGTCGTCCTAGTCGAGGTGTGTCCTCATTCAAACAGGTGTGAAGGCCAGAAAAGGTGTTAGTGGAAAGAAACATATTCTCCAACTGCCGAACGATTGTCTCCAAAATGGGAACCTTAAACAGATCTCTCTTAGATCTTACGGATTGTGCCTCCGACAATTACAGCCATTTTTGCGACGAAGCCACAAAGCGACCTTTATGACCAGTACCAGCTCGTTATCTACCGAATCATGCACAACCTCACAGCAGATGATGTGGCTGTGTTGCCACATCGCAGGAGACAAGCCAATGTACTGGCAACAAGGTTGGTAAGGATACTTTGCCAAAACAGTGGCAAACTGCAATCAAGGTAACATTGAGATTAGTGGCCATAGCAGATGATAGGCAAGCTGCCAACCTACACAACCTCCATGCTAGCAAAAGGGTATGCTGGCTAGCTGCATTTGCAAAACTTTATTGCTAATTGTAACTGCAACCCCCAGACGAAAAAAAAAAAAAAAGCTAAGTACAAACATTTTTGACATCTCTTGTCCACAGTACAGATTGCATAGATGAGCCTTCAAACTGACATCTGCCCTTGGATATGGCCAGGCTTCACAGAAACTGCCTCAGTTTCATATTTGACCACGTCGTCCGGACGCCAGTTCTGTCTAGAAGCTCACAAAGGGCTTCACGATGACACAATTTTTTTTTTCCCCGTCCTTTCAGACCTGGTTGAGTTCCACCACAGTTGATGGTAGTGTGTGCTCCGTGTATAATATGCAGCGTGAGCCCAACGGATGAAACCTGCTTTAAGCAAGTCTCAAAAATATGTTTAGCACGCTCTGCCACTGTAATTGAGCACAAAGATGCCACGAGGAGGTGAATTTTGTTTTTCGAAAATACCGAAGAGCAAACTTGCCTCAATAAATCGTAACAACTCCGAAACAAAGATTTTCCCGCGGCTCGGTATGCAGTTCAGCCTTTTTAGATTACAAGTGCAAAAAGCTTTTTTGTGGACTATTGAAGCGTCTTATTGGGAAGAACAGAGAATGGGAGCAAAGTCAGAATTATTTTCTTCACCCTCTTTGTAGTTTCTGCTAAATCAAATCTTCCAAACGTTTTTTCACGCTGGAACAACGAAAGAAATAACTGCATGCCGAGCCACAAGAAAAGTTCTGAGGCCAGATTCCCAAAACTTTCTTACCACAAAAACGTTTGTAAATTTATCTTACATCAAAGTTACAAATTTTTAGTACTCCTGAAACTAAATGTTCCTAAGTTTTGCGTAAGTTACGGATTTCTACATAACTTACGCAAAACTTATGAATGTTTTGCTTTGGGAATACTGAAAAGTTTGTAACTTTGTCGTAAGATAAATTTACAAATTTTTTGTCGTAAGAAAGTTTCGGGAATCTGGCCTCTGTTTCTTTAGTTGTAAATAATTTGATTAAAACAAAACTGCTCACTGATATTGATAACAGTAAAAAGTGCACCACCTAGCCACATTTTTGCGCTAAATTAGAGTGTCGGAGCATGTGAAACTGTTTTTTAAGATATATTTGAAGTGGGTTTGGTCCGCCGGACCCTCGCTGTACAGGGTGTCCCCCCCCAAAATAATTTACGAGGTTTGTTTTACTCCAAAAGTAAACTACACGTCGCCGAACGCTCATTCTTGACCCAAATGTTGAGCTAGCGGTACGAACTAGATGCCAAAGTTTCAGAATTAACCGTTACATTATCCAAAGGTTATAGGCGATTTTCTTAAACTTTCAATGGGAAAATGGTGGTCGACGGAGCCTTTGGATACGCAAAGTTGAACGGCAGCAGTTACCGAGAAGGGGCCCCATTTTCTCGTCGAAATTTTCAGAACGTCTCTCGTAACTTATGAATAAGATAACGGTTAGTTATGGGACTCCGCCACCTCGTTCGGAACGCTAGCACTTCATTTGGGTGGAAGCTGAGCGTTCGGCAATGCTTCGTTTACTTTTGCGGTGAAAAAGAACCCGTAAGTTTTTCTTCGGGGGGAGGACACGCCGTACACATATATAAAAGAGAAAAAAAAGAATGGAGGTAAGGAAGGAAAAAAGGAACTAAGAGGCGAGGAGAATCACAGCCTTGTGCAGCAGGCGGCCTTGTGCCCGACCTTGGTGGAACTGAGGGAGATGCGTCGCAAGTCTTCGTCGGTCAGGTGTCCCACGGGGTCGTGGGTGTTCTTGAGCTCGGTGGCGAGGGCGACAAAGGCCGCCTCAATGTTGGTGTTCTCCTTGGCGCTGGTCTCGAGCACCGCCATGAACTCCGGGTACTGCTCCGCCAGACCCTGGGCCTCCTCTGGGGTCACCTCACGCAGGCTCTCGCTGTCGCACTTGTTCCCTGCCGGGAGAGAGGTCGGTCGTACCCTATACAAGGCTGCTTCACACATCGGCTTAAGACCCAGTTCTTCTCTTAAAGACCGACGGCCGGTTTGCGCTTTCCACTTTCCCCCCCGCTTCCTCCTCACCTTCCTTCTACTCTGTCCACCGCTGCCTGATTCCTCCTCCCCCATGGTGAGGAGGATCTTCTGCCTTGCAGAATCTCGAGTCTGGTCGTCGGCCTTTAAGGGGACACAGATAGGCTATTTATGCTAGCCGAAGATTTTTATTTGAACATGATCTAGAACAGGGGTCTCCAAACCCCAGCCCTCGGGCCAATTCTGGCCCGCGGAGGTCTTCCGACCGGCCCGTGGCTGGCTGCAGTCCTCCCAATGGAGCCTGGCCCAGGGCTCGCTTTCAGCACGCCCGCTGCTACTAGCGAAAAAATAAGCGTGTGTAAAACGGCGCCGTGGCGCGCACCAACCGCGTAAACGAAGTTACCAGAAAAAAACGAGAGAAAACTGCCTACCGTAAGGCGTGTCCTCTGGTCACATTAGTAATTGGACATTGTCATTAGCAGAATCCACACTCCTAGTCCCCTGTTCCATACCTGGAAAACTAAGTACGTTAAAATTAATTTACGTCCCTATGTATATTGTGCTTGGTGCACTGTGTCACAGCTATTACATGTTGTCAGCATAACTTCTATCGTTCTCACTAGTCTTCTGCCCTGTGTGAACGCGCCAAAGTTCGTATGCGCTCTGGTTTATGCTGGTATGTTTTCTGGGCTCCAATTTTTGTGTGATGTCATAAGCAGCTAAATGATTAAATTTCATAACAAAGTGAATGCATTCATCCACCTTAGAATCGTCTAAATTTAAATATTGTATATTTAAATGCTTAGCCTTTTGATGCCCAAAACTTTACTTTAAATCCCGCACACCTACAAACGTTGGTGCAGATTCAGAAGAGACAAAAAAGCAAAAGCGTGGTCTGAGAAAAAAATTACCTTTATTTGTGAACGCATAACGATATGTTGCTCCTGAGCAACGTTGGGGATCTGCGGCACTACTTCACGTGAAACGAGTGAAAACGGTTGCGACTTCGGAGAAGGCACAGGTGCATCTCGCATTTTGCTTAGTACAGGAACGTGTAACCAGTTTTGCTGTATTTGCTCCTGTTCTTCTTTTCAGTGTACTGAGACCAGTGGTGTGTTCCATCATACCTCACATCATCTGTCGGTCTTGGCTTTAGTGGCTGAGTGATCTTGCTTGGAGACACATTTCATTTTCCAATGTGTCTGACCTTCTCTCGAAGGCTTGGCCTTCCCGTGCGCTAGGGCTTGTGCGATTTGAGAACGCTGCATCAGAAGGCTTCTTTTGATGCAGAGTTGCGTGCAGTGTCGCTTGTACACGAAATGAATATTTATATTACTTTTTATTTTATGTGCAAAGATCGTCTAACCACAAAAGTCATTCATAATAGAAGATTTTAGCCGCGGGTAAAGCGTAACAGATACGCCACCAATTTTTCGTCACCAATACCAATGCTACCCACATATGCCCGATGTTGCTCCTTGGCAACATCATAGTTGTCAAGCTGCTACTGAGCTTTCACAAACTGTAAGTTCATTTTCACTGCACATGAGTCTCTTTTAATCAATCAGTAGGAGATTTTTATCAAGGATTTGTTTCATTGTCACATCCTGCATTTGGTTTCATCGATGTTCGGTCACCTGGTACAGTGGCGGGACGAGGTCGCTCGCCAGTCCAGACATGTGTAGCGGAAGAGTGAAAGCGTACAAGTGCCGCCCTCCGAATTTTATTTGTAGAATCTCAGGTCGCCTCGGCCTTCCGGCTGATGGTGCAAATTGCATAGATTCTCAGGTTTCGGCGGAGAAATATAAAATCATGTTTGAGTTGTTGCTCCTGGGCAATGCAGGGCATCAAAGGGTTAGATATCCAGGATTATTTATTTAGATCTTCCTCATTCACATCGGCCCATTTATATTTCCGGCCCTCGAGACAGAGACAGAGCCTCCATCTGGCCCCTTAGCCAAAAAGTTTGGAGACCCCTGGTCTAGAAAAGCCCAACTGCCCACAACACAATTTGTGGCTCGAAATTCGTTTTCTTTCTGCCCGAAAACAGCCGGTCGAGAATTGGCCGGTTTCAATCGCTCTCGCTTCTATGGTCGCGTGGAATTCAAACTATGTGTACCAATAATATTCAAAGTCGTGGATTGTCTAGGACACACATTCAATATTAAAAATAGAAAAGAAAATGAACCCAATTTTCTGTGGCCTCCAAAAAGCTGCAAACACGTGTTTATTTATTTTTATTTATTTATTGAGGTTACCTGCATCGCCTTGGAGGCATTATTGCAGGGAGAGGTTTACAAAGAACATTTCAGCTGAAAATACAGATGGAAACACATTTTCGTTAAACATGTTCCATTCTAATGCAGTTCGAACAAAATATAATTACAACAAGAGCTAATGGTTGCAACTTTGTATTGGTGGTCCACTCTTTCCAACACATAGAAAGAACATTGAATGTAATTTTCTTTAGTCATGCAAGTTTTATCATTATAAAGACAGTAAAAAAATTTTAGTCTTAGATTTGTTCCTCAGTACAGCAGTGGTTGCCAGTTAACTGTTGCTTTATGGCCGTGATGCTCGCTTTGAACCTATAAATATTTTAGACAAATCTAGCGCAGCGATTTTGCACTCGTTCTAATTTATCTGATAGAGTTTTAGTCTGGGGGTCCCAAACTATGCATGCATATTCTACAACTGAACGTACAAAAGAGAAATATAAAGTTTCCTTCAATTCCTTCGGGCAATGGCAAAAATTGCGACATAGAAATCCTAACAAGCTGTTCACCTTAGTGGTAATGAAATTAATATGACTATTCCATAGTAAGTCGCTTGAGAAAATAACACCAAGATAACGAATATGCTCTGTTCTTTCGAGTTGTTGAGTGTTAATCGTATAGCCCATATTTTCTCTGACTTGCTTTTTCCTCGAAAATCTAACCATTTTGCATTTTTTTGCATTAAGCTCCATTCGCCAATCGATACACCAGTTTGACGTTCGGTCCAAGTCTAATTGAAGTTTGAGATAATCTTCGTCTTCCTCAATTACTCTATGTATGACGCAATCGTCAGCGAAAAGTTTAAAGCGCGAAGAAATGTTTAGTCTTAGATTTCTTAGATCCAAAAAGCTGCAAACACGTTGATTGAAAAAACAAATGGTGCACAGATAACGGGAAGTACATGTACACGTCATTCTCAATATGGAGACATACCATGGGCTGGACGACGCGATGGCGGTGCACGACTGACCAACGTTGCGACGGACATGGGGCCGCTACTTCGGAGCCATCATTCGTGCTACCGGCATATTGATTTTCAAGCGCAGAACAGCGAGAGGAAGGAATACAAGTGCAAAACAATCGCGCGACAAACGGTTCATGCAAGTTCGTCGTCGTCTGCTTCGGAGGCTAGAGAAGCGGAGGAAGACAAAAATGCGGTCGGGTAGAGCCACGTGACTTGCAGCCATGAGCTTTTGTGCTCGTGTTTCAGTTTCAGTTTCAAGCAACTGAGTTTTCTCGCTTTATTAAAAATATATGTAACTCTGCAGCAACATACTGATTGGGCAGTCTCCTGACACATTATTAAATTGCCTAACAAAAAAATTAATTTGTAGCGGGTGTCAGTACGTTGCGGCTGGTTGACACACTGGCAACTGCAACTGGCGACCGTGGGCCACCTCTTCAAATTTCTCACACTGGCGCCATCTATAGGGTAGCCAGGGAACACTTGGCATTAGAATGCTGAAGGCCGGCGTTTGACTCTTGTGTTCTAATGCGTTCAACGAGTGCAGTGGAGACAAAGGCAGCTAGTTTTAGGTCTACCGATTTCCCCCGCTAAATTTAGAGGGGAAACTGACTTGGTTCAAAGTTCACGTGATGTCAACATCACCACTAAATTTAGTGGGGAAACTAAATTGGTGTTAGGTTACGTGCACAGTTCTGTGTTTTCAGATAAATCCGAAAAAACGCTCGCCGGTAAATTTTCTGTTGATTTGGATTTATCAGAAAAGCTCTGAATTTCGAGGTTACAATGAAAAAATAAAGGGTCAAAAAAGACGGTGTTTTGCACATAATCTTTATGAGAGCACAAGGTTAGTGCACCCGAGGAGATGCGACTTCAGTTTCCTTTGAAATCTTAAACTGCTGACTAAAGGGGTTTCCTTTTAGCGCGTGAAGGTTCCTTCAGGACAACGGGACATGGCACCTGGGGCCCTAATCTACACGGCAGGATCAAAGGACTGGGACATCGCCTCCTGCTGCGATTTGGTCAGCTCCCCAGCGCTGACCAATCGTAGTAGGCGGCAATGTCCAGGTCGCTTGGTCCTGCCATGTAGATTAGGGCCCCTCAGCTTTAATTTTTAAAGATAGAAAACACAATAAAATAAACTTTGAATTTCTCGAAATTTGAAATCTAACTAAAAATAAATTTTGATAAACCCCAACTTTTCAGCAAAAAATGAACACCAAAAAACACCCTTAGAATTTCGGAAAAAAAAAAAAAAAAAAAAAAAAAAAAAATTCAAATAACAGAGAATCCTAGTTATGTGACATCAGATTGTGTGACAACAAATCTTCTGCTAAATTTGGTGGAGAAACTTAATTGTTTTATAGATCACGTGACATAAATTTTTCTGCTAAATTTAGCGGGGCAACTGACGTGGTCTAAGACTTATGACATCGGGTCACACGACATCAATTTTCCCGCTAAATTTAGCAGAAAAACTGAATTGGTGTATAACTCACGTGACATCAATTTCCCCGGTAAATTTAGGGGGAGATGCACAAACGGGAAATATTTTGGGATTGGGATGATTCCGTTCAAACACTTTTCACGCATAAATAATCTAGAGGGAAAGGTCCGACACATTTCAGCCGCTTCGGAGCAACAGGGGACACGGACATCGGTGATCCCGACGGGCCCATATCGCTGGTAGTGGTTTAATCTACTCAGAAAAGAAGCAGCAAAACGCCACCTGTAAGGTCCTAGTTTTTTCGTAGTTTACTTTGCAAGAAAACACCATAAAGGTCATGAACACTCGAACAACTTGAACTCATCATGGGAAAACGAACACGCCTAAGCTATCATCTGCTTTCTTACTCAGCTTTTCTGTCGTTCTTCTTCTGTCTTTACCTTGGAAGCAGTGGTGTCAGCACTCACGATATGCCACATTCTACTCCTGCCCTTACGGGTTATTCTTTCACCTTGGGCTTGAAATACTTATTGACAACCCTTTTTAAAATCTCGCGGATAGTGTGGAGATTTGATTTCACCTGCCAAACCTCAAGACTAGTTATACGGGATTCTAGGGCTACCTGTCAGATGGCGCCAGAGTTTTTCACAAACCTGTGGTGTGTTCCTTCGTCGTAAGCGTTCACTTTGAGACCACAATGCACTCCATCAGAGTGAAATGCAAATCTGTCAATGAGCCTTAAAGTTCTTTAGATTACCTGGTCTAAAATCTTTTTCATCACTCTATGGGAAATGTACAAATTGATACACCAAAGGCGAGCTGCAGACATTAGGGGTCGACCAACTGTGGGCTTCGGTTCGAAGAATCCGCTGGACGCATCTACCCATTTGTAATACCCCGCATACCCATTGAGAAGGTGGACAATTTAAAAAGTCATCTACGCTTGAAATCTAGGGGTTGTGCTATCTCAAATAATGTAAACGCCATGTAAAGGGAGCTACATCTGCTTTAAAAAAAGTATATATGTATTTTTTAACATGAATTATTATTGTTTATGGTGACAAAACTTACAAGGGAACCACCTAAGTTTCCAGACCAGTAAGTAGTTCAACAAAGGACCATGGTAAAGCTAAGGGGCCACTGACGAGGCATTTGAGCATATGCCACTTCACATTTGCAACGGCCTTCCTCTTGTCCGTGTTTTCAATGCAGAATGCGTTCTAACCGATGCAATCTTGCAACTCGTGTAGCTGTCGCATTGTCGTAGCTGCATCGTGCAATCGTCGGCTAAATTTAGCGGGCTAACATACTGCTCAATCTACATGTGCTGTCGGCAAGAAAAAGGAACCTCCGAATGATCAAATGAAAGGTACACAAACAGCCCGTCAACTACTAGTATGCACCGCACTAACAATGCAAAACAACAAATAAGGGCACACAGGTTTCGGCGCGAGCATCACCAGTGGGAAAAATCTGGCAACAATGGAACAGATTTGCGCAGGGGCAGTACCTCCAATGGTCCTAACGTCGTGGCGCTGTACTCGTTTGTAAACACATCTATTGGACACGAATAAAAAAACAAACACGCACGCACCTATGAGCAAGAGGGGAACGTTCGAACCCGTGTATCTCCGGACTTCCTCGACCCAACGGGGTAGGCTGAGAAACGAAGACCTTTTGGTGATGTCATACACGATGATGACGCCGTTGGCACTTCGGTAGTAGCTCTGGGTGATGGTGCGGAAGCGCTCTTGCCCAGCCGTGTCCCATATCTGTAACTGTCAGTTGATAAAACGAATGTTATCAAAAACAACGAGCTGTCCCAAGACAACGACACTGACGCTTGACTCCTAAAGCATACGACAACAAAGGGCTGCTTATCAATCACAAGCATCACTCAGCCGAAGTTAATATCGAAGATTGTTAATCTCTGACGTACACGGCGATCGGAACAGCTGGAGGTTTAAAAAGTTTGACAGAGACGGCGCGCCGAAGTTCGGACGTGAAGACATAAGGCGCCGATCGCCGAGACTTCCGCGGGTATGATTTGCGTAAAAGAGAACTTGGGTAACGTACCTTTACTTTCTTTCCTTCGACTGTCAGGGTTTTCATGGCAAAGTCAACACCGATTGTGTTGCCGTGCCGCTCGACGTACATTCCACTTTTGAAGCGATGCACTACACACGTCTTGCCCACGCCACAGTCGCCGATCAGGACAATTTTGAAGAGGAAATCGAAATGATCGTCGTCGTTCATCGTTCCAGGGTGCACGGGATCGCTCGACCGCTCGCTAGTATTCACGTAGCGGACGCACTTACAGAGGTAGCGTCTTCCCAGCCGATCACCGTGAATGGAAGGCGGACATATTGGATCACGTGATCGCGTTTCCACTGGCGCTAGTTTCCGTTTTCGCTAGTGCGGCATTTTCAAAACGCGACGGACGTAGCTTGCTGTTTGTAAACTAACCGTAGAAGGAAAGGGACCTTATTTATTTTTAAATTTTGTGTAACGAGTAACTGTTTCTTCTGGAATGCGCGACTGTTCGAGGTCTGAATGAAAACGCGCGCTCGAGAAATGATCTAAAATCCTTTTTATTCCACGATAGAAGATGAGGTACAGTTGAATCATGTAAGAGGGTACAAGCACAGTACAAGGATCCCACAACTTTAGTACTTCATACAAGAATGAACAATAAATTCGTGTTGACATCGAAGCCATTGTTAGGTGTTTCCCCATAAATTGAAATTAGGGCGGTATCTAAATTTTTAGACAGGCCGGGGGGGGGGGGGGGGGGGGGGGGGGGGGAACAATAGGGAGAGGGGGGGGGGGGGGGGGGTGCACCCTTCCTAGGCGGTGTGTAGGGAAATCACTGGCCATCGCACGCAGACTTCTACAGACGTGTATACGAAAAAGTCAGTGCACGTATGTCTTCGTCTCTATTTGTTCCGTATTTACATTTTCTAGGAATCGATGTTGACTACAATTTAATGATAAAAGTACACATATTGAGGGAGCAATTCTCTTCCGACTGTATGCACTAGGCATGGCAACCAAGGATGTTGGATGAGCGAGCGTGAAATAACCAAGTGCGACAACGCTAGGGTTACAGGCCGAGCGTCTGCGGTGCGCAAAAACGGCTATCATTGCATTTAAACAGCTGACAATGGAACACTTCATAATGATTTCGTCGTTAAAACAAGCCGTCTAACCGCTCTGAACGGGGGTAATGTCACTCATTACTTGTCAAACTAACCGCTCTGAACGAGGGTAATGTCACTCATTACTTGTCAAACTAACCGCTCTGAACGAGGGTAATGTCGCTCATTACTTGTCAAACTAACCGCTCTGAACGAGGGTAATGTCACTCATTACTTGTCAAACTACATAATCAGATTGTTCATCGCGCCTCGTCCACGTTTTTTAACGACCGTCGCCATCATTTTCCAAACCTGTCAGCATTAGCCCAGTGGCTCATTCAGTAAGATCATCGCCCACACCTAACGTATAATTTCATTTGAAAACGATGACTCGTCTAATTTGATTGAAATTAACAAAGTAATTTAATTGTAGTGATGAAGTGATAGATTCTCGGAAGATGAATGGCGGACGGTCGTGGCACTCTGAAAATAGTCGATTGGCTCTAAAAGAGAGCCATGTGACGGTGGCGTAGCCAGGAACATTTTTTGTGCGTGTGTGTGTGTGTTTGTGTTTGTGTGGGGGTGGGGGGGGGGGGGGGGGCTTTGCTGCCGGGTTGTCCATAACTTGGTGCCCCCGGGGGTGGGGGCACCAAGGCTCCACTGCATTGCCAACTTTTTTGGCAATGCAGTGGAGGGTACAGGCCCGCGTCCCCTCTCCCATTTTGAGTGTGCGCGGGCTCTCCTCCTCTTCCCGGAAATGGGGGAGGAGGAGAGCCTGCGTACACTCAAAATGGGAGAGGGGACGCGGGCCTGTACCTTCCACAGCATTGCCAAGAAAAGTTGTCACGGAGTATATAAGCTCGTCCCCCTGGCTACGCCAATGCTATCTGATGCTTTCGGTGAAGAAAGTATCTAGAGGTGCGCACTAGTTGCTGAGCGGAGTTCTCCGGGCCCGAAAACCTTAGTAAGTCTCTTCTCCAGGCGTCAGCTGTATCAGAACCACCGTGTACGTGGCGACAGCTCCCACGATGGTCAGGATGAAGGACCTGTCCACTTCGAAGAGGCCCCAGCCGGTCAGCGTGAACCTGGATGACTTGATGCCGGTCTCCATGTGTACCACCTGCTGACAGAGCTGCCAGTCTTCGCCGGGCACAGAATTTCTCACCCGGTACATCTCTTCGTCCAGATCCCTGTACTCTTTGTCCACCTGAGCCAGGGAGAAGGACAAGATCATGAAGAACGAGACCGAGTAGATGACTTCGATGAAGAAGGACATCACGTTGGCGAGCGTGAACGAGGCAATACCGTTAACGAGAGTGCGTATGGGTAGCACGATATTCACGAGGAGGTCCACGATCCAGAGAAAAAGGACCGGAGCGAACAGATTGTCCAGTCGGCGTTCCACGTCGATCATCTTGGCGCACATGAATTGGATCCTCTTGAACTTCGCCAGGTTCAGTGGTCCGCTGTCCAGGATGCCTCTCTGCGAAACCCTGAAATAAAGCATCTGGGCTCGGAGGTGATCGCAGAGGTACATGTACCAGGTCATGAGCAAGGGCGACCCAGTGACTATGATGTTGTAAGAGTTCCACTCGATGAGCCCGATCATGATTGCCGGGGCGTTGGGAATTCCCGCTTTCTCCAGATTAATGCCGTAGAAACACTTGTCAAAATACTTTTGCGCTGGCACGAGAACGAAGAACAGGGATGTCATGGCTATGAGAAGACAACTGTAGCACAATATGGAAAAACGGAGGTACTTTCTCTTCCTAGAGGCCTTTTGTATGAGCTCGGTGGGCTCCGGACCTTCGAAGGTCTGCAGTTCTTGCGCGATTTCGTTGATCTCGCCACGCTTTACAAAGCAGTAGGTTGTCGTGACCGTTGAGACGACAGACCTGACGGTGTAGGTCATGGTTTCGATGAGGTACATCATAGAACCGGTCCGGATGCTGCCGGCTATGGCGTTGGAGACGATGTGTGTCGCGTAGATGTACATCAGTGTCATCTTTATGTAATCCCACGTAGTGCCTCGATCGTCGTCGGTTTTCTTCTTCGTGTCATGCTCGGACTCTGGCTTGAAGGCCCAGGCTTTCGCGTTGAATGGCATCACTGGGGTCTTAGACGTGACAATGATGTTTCTCTGCATCCTTGTTGGCAAGAAAAAAGAAAAGAAAGAAAAAACACAAGCAAAGAAAGTAAGATCACTGCGTGCCAAAGTAAAAATCCTAAATATATTTAAAAAATTACATACCGTAAACGACTTAATTTTCGCGGGCTCAAATTTTCACGAATCGGGCCAAAGCTGAAATTATTCGCGGGACGTATTTTTCGCGAATTGTAGGCGATTCGCGAAATTCGCGAAAAATAGGTCCTCCCGAATATTTAGTCGTTTACAATATTTGATTTAGATAACGTTTATTCGATTTAAATCAGAATACTTTGATTTATATCGCTGTAGCCGGGAAATATTTTGATTTTTTATCACTAGATATATTTTTAAACAGGAACGATTGATTGATAAATCAATCAAAAACAATGCGAGAAAAAATCATTATTGCAATTCTCAACTTGTAAAATTAACAGCTTTTATTAATGTAAACTCGGCCGTACAAAATAAGCTACATCTTTTTATTTAATGAAAAAGATTTATTAGCTTTCTTTCACATCCTGACTCGCTTAGCTTTAGGACCTTCCTTTTCTTTTCTTTTTTTTTTTTTTACTTTTTCCGTGTACGGATTTGGTTATAAAATTACGTAACTGACCAACGTAGTGGAGGGTAGTTCACTGCGATTCGCTCAGAAGAGTGATATTTTTTGTTCTTGTTCTGTCTGCTATCTGCTATTAATCTTCCTTGCGATCGATTTTTTTTTAATACTAAACAAATGTGCATACAGAAAGCCTCAAATGATAGGCAAACGATAAATAAAAAATATATTGAGAATCACCTTTGCGGGAAAAGTTCGAATCAAATCATCGTAGTAAAACCGACGCGATTTAAATCACGATTTAAGTTTTCTCGTTTTGATTCGCCACCTTGCTGCGTGCTACACGAAATTGCAACTTTGTATTCACGAACAAACACAAGTGCTACATCTTGATACCTCCGGCCTGAGGGCGTACTAGTCCATGTTCTGCTCGAATGTACAACCTGGCTTGAACCTAAGATAACGCACCACAAAAGTTTGAAACGCACATTAACTCAGCTTTTAGAAGCGTGACCAGCTGGGTCGGCTTGCTAGAATGAAGTGTATGTCCAAGCAGGACACTACAAAACGCACGACTCCGACAAATCGTGAAAATTGAAGCGGACGCGTCCGCTTCAATTTTCACGATTTGTCGGAGTCGTGCGTTTTGTAGTGTCCTGTTTGGACACCCCTTTAGACTGCGTCAAAGGAAGCCTGACTGGGGCGCGCGAGCGCTTGAGACTCGATTATAGCCTCCTCTCTACTCACAAATCCTGGCAGTTCGACGACGGAACTATAGAGCGCCCAGTCGCAGATTTGGAGCGCGACGATCTGGTAGCACAGAGCATCAAGGAGCCATTTCTCGGGGAATCTGGACGTCAGCGCACAGTTTTTGCAGCAGCGGGGACCCGAAACACACTTGTTCGCTCGGGAGAAGTGTGTTTCAGCGTCTCGCCGCAGCGGGGCGCCAGTCACGTGGCTCTCCTCTCATCCGTTGTCTGCCGCTCCACCTTTTCAATTTCGGCGGACGCTTCTCGTGGTGACCTGCCAGGCTTTGTCAGTATATAGGGAGTATTCACTGGACGCCATATTTGAGGGCGATGTTTAAAGCGCATGCTCGGAACGAGCTGACGTTAATAGGCTGCTAAGACCGTCAATATTGGTGGTGCGGAATGCACGTGAAGAAAGAACTGCGGCAGCACGCCGTCAGCACGCGCTCAGCAGTCGCGCACACAACTATCGCCGCCAGTGAAGACTCGACGTGCCACCCTCCCCGTGCGGGAGCTGATTGTAGCAGCCGGGCCCTGCACTTGTGGTTCGTGCATTGCAGTACCGAGCATCTTCTGATGGCTCTGCAGCCCATGAAATTTCGGCATTATTCCTCGCCCAAGAACCAATCATTAAGCAAGAATCGGAACACGCGCTTCTTTAAAAGGAAACTAAAGCGGATCTCTATTGGAGCATTTGGCCACCAGCATCACGAATATCGGGATTATTTTTCAACTTGGTGCACGAAGGCTGCAGAAAATAATTTCCAAAGTACCTCTGAAGCCGCCCCTTCTTTTCGGAGCGTGACGCCATACCCTTTGGAAACGTCATATCTGTAGCGCCTAAAAGCTATGCACGCGCACTTTCGCTATTTTCAAAGAGGTCAAAAGAAGACGTCACGGTTGGTGTCAGTGCTGTGGAATATATTTGGCAAGCTTGCAATTGCACGCGCTGCCCACACGAGCGACACGTGCTTGGCAGCCAAAAAGGACCTTTTATGACGTAACGACCGGTCGCACGTTTTTCGTGTTTTCTCGCGTTTAGTTATATCTTCGGGGAAAACAAACGCAATCGTCAAATTCGCGAGATGAAAATGCTCTAATATTCACCTCTAACGAGTGTTTGCAAAAACCTCTTCAGCTTTCCTTTAACTGTTTTTGACTGCTGTGTAAGTTGTTGACTGTTTGTGTTGTGTGTAAGTTGTTGTCTGTTGTTGAGCTGTTGTGTAAGTCTGACTGATCAGATTAGACTAAATGAAACCGGTGATAAAACTCGAAGCGCCTCATCGCGGCATAATGCCACGTTGCACATTGTGGGAATCAGTGAGAAGCAAAATCCATACGCACTCCGCTTCTGGCCCAGAGGTTCGCAGAATGCAACGCGCGCGGTGACGGATTTAGGGAAGTAATCTATTATGGTTATCTGCATTCTTGAATTGTTGTGCCAGAATACTCTCTGGGTGATAAAATGTTCATGAATACCTTGAGTGCACCATGACGTTGGCGAGTGACCTTATTTCCGTATTTTGAGACTAGCGCTCGTCTTTTGTGGTATACCGTGGTGTTGTGTCCTGGTCGTTCTCATGACTGTTGTGTAAGTCTGACTGTCTTAGAACCGTGATATATATATGTGTGAAGAAAACAAGTTCCGGAAGTCTTTTTTTTAATGTTTACCAGATTTATATGCTCTCCCTGTACTCCTTTTCCCCCCATCCCTTATTCCTGCGAAATAGCGAGACGAAAACACGCCTCGATGAATCACTTTTTTTCCCCCTGGCTTCAATAATTACGCGACGTTATAGTTTATGTGTGTTTCGGTGAACGCCACGAGCCAGTGCGTCTTGTGATGGTTGAATCCCTAGTCATAATTACGAAACGTGCTATTAGCACATTAAAGAAAGTAAAAAAAAAAAAAAAAAGGAACTCATTAGCATTTGTTTACTTATCCATCCTTTTCGGTTACCTTCACCAGTGTGTGATCCCTATTACCAACTCGCTTATCCTGACTTTAACAGGTTATTTGATTGTATTGAGATCGATGAATAACTCATTATATTTGCTGGTGGCCCACTTCAAGGCGAAACATTGTTCGCAATTGTTTCTAAAGGGCACGTGGAGCTTGAGTTTACATCACCCATATTTGAATGACTGTTATATCATCTCATAAAAACCACCTTCAAAAAAAATATGCTTCTTGATTGTAGACCAAAAAATCCAGAATACAGATCCCAAGTTTGTGCCAGAAGCGTAATTCTTTTTTATGAATTTTTAAGATTATTATATAACCAAGAATTTACACGGGTACACGGAGCGCTAAAAATGTCCTTACCAAGCTCACCTGTCAGCGTATCACCTGCCGACAGCTTCCGCCGAGAGACAATGTGGCGACCTCCGCGAAGAAGAAACGTTGAGTGACCTGACGTTTCTTTCTTACCGGCTGTCGCTCTCAGTATGATCATTACGGGCACAGTGAGGCCAACGAATTATTCCGCCTTTTGGGTGTCACCTTGCTGCAGACGACAACTTCCTTCAGAAATAAACAGGTCGATGGAACATGGAAGGGCGGTAATGTGCATGCGTTTACTCGGTGGTAACGACAGCATTTGCGCCAGGTGCACTCACGAGCCAACATAATCGTGCTGAATCGCCTGACCGTGACCGAGAAGTCAATCAAGAGCCCACAACGTTTGGGCGGAGTCGCCGCCACTGATCTACATGAACGTGCTTTCGATCGAGACAGCCAGCACGTATTCACCAGTTCAGCCAACTCGTGAACCATCTTTTGAGGATCGCCGGGCCATTACGGGTTTGATTTGCATCTACAGCGAGGTTGCCCCACCTCAAGGGCACATAATGTGATTCATAGCAATTGCGTGACGGGACCGTTAGCCAAAACACACTGTGTCTCCTAGAAACAAAAGTTTAACCTTGAAAGTTAGCCAATCAAGACTTGACACCACCACGTGACAGGAAGCGAAGCTCCTTATTGGCAAAAGAGATAGCTATGTTATCTATGACCGAAGACTCCCCGGTTCGATCCCCAAGATCAGTTCTTGCCCAGTGAAGCTCCGAGAACAGTCTTCACCTGCAGCCTCCAGCAAGATGATCACGTCCGAAAAACAAATTCAGCAGAAAGCGCAGCAAAAAATGTTCCGGCGGAACCTCTACATGCAAGTCCTGGAAACAGGATCCAAAGGCCTCCTGGACAAAATTGGAATCCTCAAGTGGCCCCTCCTGTTGGTGGCATACGCATACACCGTTCACACTACTATCAACGTTTTCCTCACCTTCATGCGCATCCACAACATGATGAAGGTCCTCGACATTGCTGGCTACGCGGCGAGATCCTTCTTTGCCTGCCTCAACCTCCGGCAAGCCTTCCAGATTAGCACGCCTTCAAACAGACTTCTGCAGCGTTTGTCCTTCGGAGAAAACCAGCGCCGCTGCTTCGAAGTGAGCACCTTCTTGAAGGTCTTCGTCTTGGTGTACTTCGTAGTCGAAGTGTCGCTTTCCATCGACTTCGTACTCAATGGCGACATCGGAGAATACGTCACCTCCTTTCTCTACGGAACCAACATAAGCACCACCAACATGACGCAGGAAGTCATCAAGGCGGCCACGTTCTTTAATCTCACTTTGTTTGACATCCTCAGCATTGTGCCAGGGCTCTTGATGGCAGACTACATCGCGGCGTG